ACACATTACAACATCATCATATTCTAACATCAGTTCATTCTTAGATGTAGCCTATGATGGAGTAAACTGCGCATGTAATCGTATGATAGTACAAAGTTCAGGGACAGCGACGCGTGATATACCTGTTTGTTTATGCATGTTGACTCATGTGCCGCATATATGTAATGTATATACTGTTTATGACACACGCAGAAAAAGATAATTGATCCTCAAAACCCCTGTTCAACAAAATAAAGCGACTGCCACCAGTGTGCTGCTTATACGCTGGCTATGACAGGCGACGACATATTATATTGATCGGCTATATTGCGTGGATTTTTTGACAAGCAACAAATATTCTGATATTGATATTAATTGCGTCGTTTCTTAAGAACGAGGCAACAACATATTATATTGATATATTGCGTCGTTTCTTAAGAACAAAGCAACGACATATTATATTGATATATTGCGTGAATCTTTTGACAAACAACAACAAATATTATATTGATATATTGCGTCGTTTCTTAAGAACGAAGCAACGACATATTATATTGATATATTGCGTGAATCTTTTGACAAGCAACAACAAATATTATATTGATATATTGCGTCGTTTCTTAAGAACGAAGCAACGACATATTATATTGATATATTGCGTGATTCTTTTGACAAGCAACAACAAATATTATATTGATATATTGCGTTGTTTCTTAAGAACGAAGCAACGACATATTATATTGATATATTGCGTGAATCTTTTGACAAGCAACAACAAATATTATATTGATATATTGCGTCGTTTCTTAAGAACGAAGCAACGACATATTATATTGATATATTGCGTGATTCTTTTGACAAGCAACAACAAATATTATATTGATATATTGCGTTGTTTCTTAAGAACGAAGCAACGACATATTATATTGATATATTGCGTGAATCTTTTGACAAGCAACAACAAATATTATATTGATATATTGCGTCGTTTCTTAAGAACGAAGCAACGACATATTATATTGATATATTGCGTGATTCTTTTGACAAGCAACAACAAATATTATATTGATATATTGCGTTGTTTCTTAAGAACGAAGCAACGACATATTATATTGATATATTGCGTGAATCTTTTGACAAGCAACAACAAATATTATATTGATATATTGCGTCGTTTCTTAAGAACGAAGCAATGACATATTATATTGATATATTGCGTCGTTTCTTAAGAACGAAGCAACGACATATTATATTGATATATTGCATGAATCTTTTGACAAGCAACAACAAATATTATTTTGATATACAGGGTGTATCCAAATAAACGCAATTCATTTTTGTGCTTAATAACTTTTGAAATACTATTTCTAGTTAAACGGTTTTAGGCTTACTTCAAAGCCTGTTCTTTTCTCTTTCAAACAAACTATTATTCTTGTCTCCAATGCTAGTAATAATTGCACAAGAAAAGATTTAGTAAAACCTATCATTTTTAGTTGCTGTTATGCAAGTTTACTATGTTATTGTTTATAGTCAGTTTAAATGTTAGAATTTTCTTATTTAAACTTTAATGTTGTCGTCACTACATCTGGAAAACCACGTAAGAACAAATTAAAAGTATTTTAAAAGAGACCAGGTTGTTTGAAAATCCTAAACGAATGCTAAAATCGTCAAAACATTCTGGTGTCTGAGCCAGAGTGTCATCGAATTGCGATGTAATGTAAACAGAAATTATAGCAAGTTGATGTCAGTCAGCTTAGATGGTCCAAGCCAAATTATATCGCATTTGAAGTTTCAAACTGAGTTAAAAATAGTGGAAGAAAAGCCGTAATTATACTTATTGTTACAATCCATTTAATAAAATGCAACATTTTTTTGTTTTAATGAAAAAAATCAGTTATTTTCATGAGAACGATTTGTTATTCCATCTCACTTTTTTTAATCTCCAATCGCAATAACGTAAAGTATTATTACCCGCGAACCAATGAGTCAAATTTAAGAAACAACCCACTGTTAGAAAGCTGAATGGCTACGCTTTAAAATGAATGTAAACTTTAACGTTTTCGTCTATTATTTGTTTAGCAATTTACATTTCAGTCGAGGATTGCGCTTTTTTTGATAACCCTGTATTGTGTCGTTTCTTAAGAACGAAGCAACGACATATTATATTGATATATTGCGGGAATCTTTTGACAAGCAACAATATATTGATATTGATATATTGCGTCGTTTCTTAAGAACGAGGCAACAACATATTATTTTGATACATTGCGTCGTTTCTTAAGAACGAAGCAACAACATATTATATTGATATATTGCGTGAATCTTTTGACAAGCAACAATATACTGATATTGATATATTGTGTCATTTCTTAAGAACGAGGCAACAACATATTATTTTGATACATTGCGTCATTTCTTAAGAACGAAGCAACAACATATTATATTGATATATCATATTATATTGATATATTGCATCATTTGCGTGAATGTTTTGACACATATAAGAACGAGTAAATTGTATGCATATGGAGTTGTGTATGGAGCTGCTCAAAACATGAAACGGTGTAGTGTGCTCGCACAGACGGCCCGACATTTTGTCTGCAATTTGGATACAAAATAGTACACATATGTAAGTATGGCAGACACAAAAGACAGAATCAGTCCGAGCAGAATTCTATATGTAAATTATCAAAGACAAATTAAAGCTCATTACTGTATGTCACAGAAATACAGTTATTGTAACTAAAATGCCTTGTCTTAAAGGACGTTATGAAGCAATGTTTTTCATTAAAAAACACCTACTGTCATAATGTACAAAATGCCATTTCAGACCCCCGGACGTTTACAAAGGTGTCATCCACATCCCCAATCTCACTCTTTACTACTCTGCAAAGTTGAGAGGTCTGGATAATGTATTTTTACACACACATGAAAATACAATTACTGTAAATATAATCATTTTGCATATTTTCGTGTGAAGGCAAAGAGCCTGGAACTAGTGTTGTTGGGTGTTGTTGGCCCAGAAATAAATCCAACGCAAATCCACTATTCCTAAGGCCACTACAAGTTAATCTTTAGTTTCTGGTCCGTCCTTACCTTCATCTACGACGCAGGCGGGTGGGCGGTTAGGACTATAGGACATAATTACAATTGTGGCTTTGCCCACATTTTTGTGGTCTTTCTTGTCCCTTTTCATGCTAATTGTATCAAAATGTTATGAAATTTTACATAAATTGCATTTATATTATTTATAAATCGACATGTATGACAGATTACAAAGGATTTTACATATCAAAATGATCTATTAATATTTCTAGTTTTTTTTACCTTGTAATCTCGATAAGGCAGTGGTTTTTACCATTCAATACTACATTTTGCTAGATCTTTTTAGTGTAAATTGAATATTTATCGTTCTATAAGTTAAATCCTTCGCAAAAACAAAATAGTCCTGAAATAATACTTTACTGAGAAAGGATGCGGGCAGCGGACCAGAAACTAAAGATTAACTTGTAGTGGCCTAAAACGTGACTCATATGTTTAAGCTAAATGCCTTTGATACAACCGGCCCCAGACTACATATGTAATAGAAACTGGTATCCATACAAATTGAAACACTGGCATAAAAGCTTACCCTTTTTTTATTGAAGTTATATTTGGCCTTCAGCACTTCTATTTGATTATTAAAATCTATCCTGACAACTGATCCACCACCATTCTTTCTAGTTCTTTTTTGGGGCTACAAAAATATGCCCAGATGTTACATGTACAGAAGATGAACGTTTTTGGCTGTTAAAATCCAGCTAATGGTTACTTTATCATTCTAGAAAGAAAAAAACACCCTCATACACCTAAAAGTAATTTCATTTATAAGTTTTGCAATTGAAAATAGGGCACTAAATTGTTTATGTAATACCTTTTCCTGTGTGGTTTGGTGCAACTGTTGGCTGGTCTCATCATCCTCCTCCCCATCAGATACTGCATATCGAACATTCGGCCTTGTGTTTCGTTTGCCTCTGCCATGACTAGGAGTTTTCACTGATCCAGTTTCAATATATCTTGCCATATGCAGGTGAATAGTTTCATAGTCATCTATGAACGAGGATATATGTTTCATTTTATATTTTAAAACAGAATCTATTATAAAAGCACTGGTCAGTGTAATACTTATTGAAACAAATTTATGACCTTAACATAGGAGAGCATAAAATACCATGCCATGTATATTTCCTAGAATAATTTTTGTCAAAAAAATTCTAAAGTTTCAGCTAAATTTAGCTTAGAGGCTTTTTATATCTTAATTTTATAAAAGACAAAGCCGAATCTAGGTATACTACATTGAAGTGGCTATATAAAAATGCCATTCAACAGCCAGTGAGCCAACTGCCAACACTATCAAGGTGGACTCATTGATGTAAAAAAGCGAGAAACAAACTCACCACTGACCATTATTTTAGCCACACATGTGGTTGTTGGAAGGGACTTTGGATCAATGGAATTATTGATAATTTTTTTATTGATTTTGGCAAAATCTTGCAGCCATGACACCATAATTTCCTTCTCCCAATCCCATTGGGAATTATTGAATGTTTCCGAATCTTCACAAAGAATGCGTATTTCATGTTCGGAAATAAGAGAAAAAACTTGCCAAAATCAAGTTTGTCTACTTCAAATTATCCCGCTTTGTGGCAAAACATATGTATGGCATAACTGTGGATATTTTAGTAGAAATGGATCATTCATTATAAAGAATTAATTCACTGGGGGTATTTTATGGTATGGGCATAAATGTATATGCGACATAAAGATGACATAGATGAAGAGTTATTCGCAGGAACATCTAAGTCAATGGAAGGATGTCTGGCTGAAGAGTGCTACAAGGAGGCCAAGGATGAAGGATGTGATGCTGAGGTCGTTTGGCAAGATGCTGACTCAAGTGCAGCAAATGCAATTAGCAAGTGGCATCCAAAAGGTGAAATTTACAAGTGTGGCAGGCATGTGGGTAGAGCTCATTACAACAAGCTCAAAGAAGTAGCCAAGCAAACGCAGTTTTCAGCTACCTTGAAAAAGAAGTACCAAGATCAGCTCCCATCAGTACTGACTGCCAAGTGTAAGTGTGATAGACACAAAGGTGGTTGTGGATGTCTTGGTGATAGCTTTCTTACAAATGCAAGAATTAACCATTTCTGTTGCCTCCAGCAATGTGACAAAATGAAGAATATGCAAGGAGGATGATTGCCCTTGGAACATATCACAGTAAAGATGTTCCCCAGCAGGCAAATCGACGTCTTCTGCGACATGGAATCGACATCGGAAAAAGGTTGAAAATGCGAACGGAATCGACATAAGAAAAGTGACGTTGTTCCGACGTAGGTAAAATGATGTCGATCCGACGTCGATATACTACCGTCTAGTGAACGTTAGGAAATCCATGTCGTATCAATGTCGAACAAAAGGCGAAAATGCAATTGAAAAATAATATGCTGAGAATATTTGTTAAACACAAAATACTCATAATCATTTATTAACACACGAAAGCTTATTATATACATATTTAACAGCACATCATTACTCGTTATTCTTTTGGATTGTCTGTTCGGACTTTTTCTCTGTCTCCACCTTTACGATCGGGAGCGTATTTTAAGAAACATTGAACAGCTTCTGTAATCACATTCTCGCTGCTTGCGAAATTCTTCAACACACTCTCTGCAAAGAAAACGATGTAAAATTAGTGAGCATGCATATATATGTTATATAATATAGCATTTGTAATGTTATATAATAGCATTTGTAGTAATATAATAACATTTTTTATAATAGCAATATGTTATATAATGGCATTTGTAAATTCTGAACGCTGATTGGCTAAGAGCCGTGTTGATATAATTCAATGTCAACACAGAAACGTCGGAAATTTCTTTCTTTATGTTTCTTTGTGCTATATTATAAAACAAATATAAAACATTTTTTCCGTATTGATATATAGTTATATCAACACTCGTGGAAATTGGGAAAACTCAAAATTGTGTGAAAACAGTCCGCCCTGTGGGCATCGTGTTTCCACATAATTTCTTGTTTTCCCAAATTCCACTCATTAATTTATTTATTGTCTAATTAAAAAAATGCAAAATCACTTCAGCCCCATGCGGAAAACTATCTAGAGCCTGTAAAGGTGAATTCAAATGTTCGGATGACCTCAAATTGTTAAGTACGAGTAATATATTAATTACCTTTTATTATTTGAAACAACACAGTCGTCCGAAACGCAGTTTTCTTTCGATGGCCATCCATGTTGAATGTTGACATAAGTTCATTCGTCGTCAGTCTAAGAAATAAGAATGGTGAAAGAAAATTCGAAAGTCATGCACACGAAAAATAACTAGTACGTACTATAGATTGACAGTCAAAATCTGCGAAAGAGTCAATATACTTTAACCTTTAACTTCTAAGTTTCCAAATACAATAAAGCCCCGCATGGAAGAACAATGGTTCAACAACCACTTCAGGCTGACAAATGAAAATGGTTCTCAAAAAACCGAATTAGCTGAATTAGTAAGCAAGTACTAGGAATAAAACGTCGTATATAATGTAATGCTGTAATCTTATCAGGCATGGACTTGCTTCATGACAACTATAGTTGTTGTACACAGACTACACACGTAAAAATCTCACAATTTGTCAGGAAGATGTGTTCGCAACAGACTTGTAACAAGCTTGTCAACAAGTTGTAACAATGCTGTTATTTTATCAAGTTGCTACAAGATTGTCACTCACACAACTTGTTGACAAATTGTTGAATTGCAGGATGATAAGAACTAACAGGACATCGTAACAAGTCTGTTGAGCCCAACAATCTTGTAGCAAGTTGTCAACAAGCCGTTGACAACTTGTCAACAAGCTGGGAACAAGCAGTGCAAACAACACATCTTGTTGACAAGTTGGTGGAACGGTATTGCTACAAGTCTGTTGCAGGTTTGTTACAACTTCTGTGTTTTTACGTGTGTACACTACACTACTTCAGCCCGATTGGTTGCTAGGTACCTGTTATAGAACATAATTAGTTAAATGATAAATACCTGGTCATGATGTTGCAAACATTATCATTGACACTAGATCCACCTATTCTTACAATTCTAGATACCTATAAAATAAGTATTAAAAGTTCAACGAGAAAAGTTCAAAAAATTGTTCAATAACATAGCTTAAATGGCATAATTAAGCCGCATCACAAAACGGTACAGTATGTTCTACTATAACCTAGATATAACTCACACTAAAACATGAATGAGCCTTTGTTGGAAAAAAGGACAAGATTTAAAGTAAGGGCAAAGACTATTGTACAATGAAAATTATTGACATAAAAGATGGACTCCGTTCTTTCTATACACCCTGTATAGGTCTTCCGCATATACTTGTATTATGATCGTATCAGACACTGCAGACGCAAAGTTCTGTTGCCCAAAATCTTGAAATGAATACGACACGAAGAATATTTTCAAACCTGCTTACCAATATTCTCTTTTTTTCAATGTCAAGAAGATTCTCTTCAAGTTCGCTAAACTCTTCCATATTGGTCATTTGAACAAGATGAAAGTCAGAATCGGCTGGTTCAGATCGCTTTCCTACTTGTTGCACGCTGTCACGTATTTCACTCAGCAGACGAAGTACCACTTTCTGAAAACCTATGAAAAGTATGAGGTCACCGGTCAAACAAGTAAAAATAAGGTTTAACTGCAGAATACCCCGCCGCATAAATTTCCACTCTATAACCGGCTTACTCGTAAGGCTTAGCAGTGGAATGCGGCTACATTTACACTCACGTAAAGTTACAACATCAGTGTTATTTACTGTAACACAAATTCTTCTTATTTTGAAACCTTATCGCTTTTACCCACTCACACAAACATGGAACCTTACCACCGCATTCTCATTTGCAAACTCAGAACACAACTTCGTAACCATGGCATATAACTGCATAGCCAGGTGAATGTGTGGATTTTGGTGACAGGGTAATTGGAATTATTTCAAAAATATTTTCAATACTAATTACGGCACTAAGATGTTTATACGTACGTGATTCACTCATTGGGAACAAGCTCGCAGAGGAAGTAGCCTTGTTACTTGTGGCAATGGACGAATCTTTTTCCTGTCTTGATTTCTTTGTATGACGGCCCGGTGAAGCAGGACTAAGTCTTTCCTCGTACGTTTTGGGGTTCGTGTTTCACTTCTCTCTGGCTCTGTGGATGACTGCCTCAAACAATTTGAAATCTTTAAGTCACCTGCTAGTGGTGATGTGGGACGTCCAGTTCTACAGACCGGATGATCATTTGGAATCGGATTCTTCGGTGTAGAAGTAGAATGAAATTTGGGCGGTGGAGGCAACCCTATAGTAGTGAGAAAATGTAATATTTACACACGAATATGCCTGCATCACTGCCATAAAATAGGTCCTGTACCTACTTAAAAATCTAAAATTGCAAATCTTCCTGATATATCAACAAAATTGAATAATTTCAAATCAAGTAGTGTTCATATAATAAAACATTAAAACACCAGAGTTTTTTCAGGGATTTCTGTTCTTGAATTGAGTTTTGAAACTCAATCTTCTCGCCAAAAGATACAGTGCAGTAAAAATACAGTTGTTTCAGTTAAATTTGCATATTAGTTTCAGCTGGAAACCCCACAATCAAGAAAAAATGGCTGGAATTCATTTCACAAGACAAGAAAAACAACTCATTCACCATCTTTAATCAGTTTATGGTGTCTGTTTTAACACACTGCATCTCAAGTTTGCCTCTCGCAGCTAATACAGATCCCCAATTGTTCAGCTAAACTCAATCTTCTCTGCAAAACGTACGAAACAGAAAATCCTGAAACACCCTGAACACGAACTTCAAGGCAGCTTTGTCTTGATACAGCATTGCATAACGTGTTGCAAAAACAAATGGCGCATTGTATACATGTGATTTATAAAGTATCAGGTATATATATATATATATATATTAAGATGAAAATGTTCTAGAGTGTGTATTATATAATTTCCATAGCCAGTGCAAGCAGAAAGATGTTGTCTGCCGCGGCTGGGTCTTGAACCCGTGATCTTCGAATTACTAGATCGGCGCTCTACCAACTGAGCTACATGGTCAGACGGATTTAAGACTGGAAATTATGAAATATATACTGAATGTCATAAACATACTCGTTTATATTAATTCAGCATCGAACAATACTAGTTCTGCAGGTGTTATGTTATATATATAACCTGAAGAACAACCAGCTCTGCTGCTCTTTGATCGATGCACTTTATCAGGAATCTTCTGTGCAACTTCCTCTTTCTCTTGGTCACCTTCCTCTCCTTCACCTTCCTCTTCGTCACTTTCAGCACTTGTTGTGAACTCATAGGCTTCACAATCTTCTCTATTCTCTGTACAATGATAAAAGTAGGAATATTAATTAATTCCCACATGGAACGAGTAAACACAAATTTGGAAAAGTAGCGCAGGAAACAAACCCGAGGTCAGTTTTATCTTCATCAATGGAAACTTATGCCAGTCTTCTGAAGGTTCTTTTTGCTCGTTGAAAGATCTTAGGACATTCATTCCGATTGGCCAGCGAACCGTTTTTCCTTGGATCCGTGCTTTTGGAACAACACCTTCCTCCTCAATTGCGTTTTCAATCCAGATTGCTCGTACCCAGGTCGTGATCACAGTACCTTCAACAGAAAACAGTATTAATAAGTAGAACTTGTCAACAGTATTATTTTGTTCTCTTCGATTTTTCATGGTGAAAAAGATATAACTAAAAATATATTTTGTAATATTAACAAAACAAAACCTATAGTTTTATTAACTGCTTTACATGCACAGGCTACTTACATGCAAAAAATTATCGGTAACAGAAAAAGTAACCATGTTGTGCTAACTTCTTTCTACTTGATGGTGTAATGGGAAGAGCACATATCCACTATTCACAGGTAAGCAAACAACTTTGCGATACAAAGATGATGACTCAATCAGAAGACGTTTGGTTTTGTGATGAATTTGTCGTGCGAGAGCTATGTTCAAAACTTTAGACTCAATTGGAGTGAAGAAGAAATTTTCTAGATGATCATAAAGAACGTCGCAAACCGATGTCCCATCACTCCTTTTATCTCGAACAATTGCATACTTTTTATTTATAAGTAAAAAGCAACTGTCCTTAACTCTTTTTCAACCACCCCCTTTTGCATCATACGACACAATTTTTCTAATATTAATATCTCGGCAAGTATTTACCCCCCTTTTAAATGAAAGCCACCATTGTAATCCTCACAAAATAACCTTTCAAACAGGGGGTCAAGTGCCGTCAGAACATTACACAAACCGAAACAATCATATATTTACTCACCGCTTGGCCAAAGATTCTAAATTTCATATACACAAGATCTTGAATCTCTTGAACATTTCGTCATTTGCTGAACGTAGAAATATTTATTTTGAATTTTTGAAGATGTCGGGTTTTACTTGCACGTGCGTACATTGTGCAATAATTGGCCAATAAGAAGCTCCTGCAGCTGGGATGACGTCAAACTCACGCGTGTAGGGGCAATTTGACCTTGCGAATCCATTTCTGGCCTTTGCAGGGTCATATGATACAAGCTTCGCATTGTTTTGACGGTTTTCAGTCATATTTCCGGTTGAGATTAACTCACTTCGAGCTCACAGTCGGACAAGAAATGGAAATATATTGATAAAAGATACAGATTTGAAGATACAGGCTTGCAAATAACACTCTAAGTAGTGTTTTTAATGGGGATTCTAACAAGACTATTACAAAGATGATATGTTCGAAGGGGCCGAAGTTATTGTCGGCGAAAGGTATGGCTAGTCTATATTTTTGTTCAGACAATTGCATAATTTGATACAATATGATCGTGTTTGACTTTCAAAGGCCCATAAATTGCTACAATGTTGATAATGACTAAAACTATAGGGAAGAATTAGTTAAATCTTTTATTTCTGAATCGAATGGTGGTATTTCTGTCTTCATAGCATGCACAGAACCGAAGATATGAAATTTCTCGCCATCTATCTCGCAGCATCGATGAGACTGGGACGTGATTAGAAAGAGTTAATGTTATCTGATATTGTTCCCACCTTGGAGAAGGTAGTCGTAATGCCCTACACTACACTGTTCACTAGCCTCCTTAAATTCGCCCAGCCGTTTTGCCACCTGGACAAGTGGGTTTTGCCCTTTTCTAACATACTTCTTCAGCTGCTGCATGAAATTTTCAAACGGAAAGCACAAGATCTCATTTAATGAGCATTTGAAGTATCTAACATCATCCGGTAGGTGCTTAAGACAATGAATATTGTACACTGTGAAAGTCTTCCCATAAACGTGCTTGGCATTCTCAACAAAGTAGTTTAAAAGCTCTCGAGCAAAATCTAAATACTAGTAGGGAACAAACACCGATCCTGAGCCACTTTTTTTTCTCACCATACATATAATCATTTCCGTCTTTTTTCCCTATTTCTTTCCGTCCCCAACGTTCTTAACGTCCCCGGCATCCTTAGCGTCCTCAAGGAATTTCCCATAAAAAATTTTCATAAAAACTTCCGTAAAAATTTTCCGTAAAAATAAACTTCATGAAAAATTTCATAAAAATTTTCATGGAAAAACTTGATGTAGAAATTCATGAAAGAGATCTTCGTGAACAAATCGGCCTCGTCAAGTATTTAAAGGGGAACTATACATATGGTAAATAAAGAGGTATGGTGAATTCAAAACCTAATTTCCGTTCGGAAATCAAGAAGCTCGCATCGGAGCGTAAGAAGCGTCGCGAGAAGAACGAACGTTTTTTGAAAAAGAGTGTTGCGGAAGAGAAGTTGTGTAACATTGCGAGGGAAGAGGTAAGACGTAGTTCTAGATACAGGAGAAAGCCGGACAGAACGTCTTTACTTCAGTTCGCATTGGAGAACGCTCGTATTCGGAGGGAGAGGGAGGAAATGATGGATGTGTATTATAATATAGATGATGACGAGGAATAAAAAAAAAATTTTATCAAAACCTTATAACAAAATAAGATATATCCGGAATATTTCTCTGCGATAGTTTTTACAAGGTTACTATTCATTGTTTCACACATCCTTTCCTAACCTACCCGGGATTAGGAAAATTTTTTTCATATAATAAATTAATGATACAGAGATCAGAGATGGTATTCGGTCACATCTTATCCATACTACAGGGGCTGGTCTTCGTCTTGTTAGGGATTCGGATGTTGATGTATTTTTGGATGACATACGGTCGAAGGGAAAGAAATGTGAAGAGTTTATGAGACGTAGTGGTATGGACGAATCTTCACTCCACGATCTTTTTTTCTCCGAAGTACTGGAGATACTTAAACATATTCCCGGTTTTGTAGAACGTCATGATTTAAAAAAAAATTATCATTAAATAAAAGGTGAACCCTGCAACGACAGTTATTCATTCCGCCATGAAATTAGCGGCGGTTGCAACTCGATCATTCCGAACGTGGCGTTGACGGAAGAAGAGGCCAACGTCTTGTACGCGACGTGTGCGATCTGTAGTTCGTCCGCATTATCCATTTTGATTTTCGTGACGACAAAATTGGTGAGGATGTGTTGGAAGAAGAAAAAAGAAGAATTACCCGTCCACACACCGTCCGCGTAAAAAGATTTTAATAATTCATGGTATTATTAAAATTTATTCAGGATTATTATCACCAGTAAGACTTCAAACGTGATTGGAATCAGGAGGCAACTGATCAGACACGTCCATAACAATATTCTCCACAGGAATAGTTTTATCATTTATTCCGTCGTAATTTTTAACCGTCGTACTGACGTATCCGATCTGCGTATGAATACTGGTCATCGCATCGCCGCGATCGAACCCGAATCCTAAACTGAACATCTTTCGTCTTTTATGATTTTTATTGCGTTTGATAGTATTTTCGGAAGAGAGACATCCTCCCATTTTATTAAATGAAACCGTTTAATATGATCATCGTCGGAATGACGGCGTGTGGAAAAACACATTATCTGATCGAAGAGTTGAAGACGACGTATTTTCGTAAATTTTCCAATATTTTTTTAATCTGTCCGACGTATATCATTGGAACAAGATGTATGAACAAGATTTTATCGATAGAGATCCGAATTTTTTCATTGTTCCGTGGGATCAGGATGATGTGGAAGATTCGTTAAAGCGCGTCGTGAATTATACGTCGGGGAAAGAATCCTTGATTATTCTCGATGATTGTGCGAGTACAAAATTTATCAAGGGTCGTACGAGTGAATTGGTGAAATTAGGAATGAGTGGACGTCATCAGAACATTTCGACGATCGTGATTACACAACAGTTAACGTCGATCGCCAAACCATTTCGCGAGAACATTCAGAAATTAGTGACGTTCTATAATCCGAACAGACAGGATATGAAAGCAATCCTGGAAGAATATGTTGATCCGGACGTCGTGGGTGTAAGTGAAATAAAATCTGTTCGTAAAAAATTAAGGGAAAATAAGTATTCGTACTTGGAATTAGAATTAATTCATCTGTTCCGTCATGAGATAAAGTATTAGAATGGAAGAAGAATTTTAAGAACAGAAGACGGAAGCCGAAATTGTGGAAGGTATAAGATCGGAAGTAGTTCGGTTATCAAACGTGGGTGAAATCAAACAATCCGAGAATTATTTGAAAAAGCAACGCCACGTATCGTTCGTAAAATTAAGCGGGAATACGATATCGGTCAGCGTGAAAAAGTCAACATCCTACTCACGGAAACTTTGATCGAGAAATTTTCGGGATTACTGGAAAATATTCGTATGATCGATAGCGGAAATGATCTGAAAGAAGAATTAAATCAGGGTAAATTATTAAAAACCGACGTGAAAAGTATCGTGGAAAGAATATCTCCGTACATTCCGTATCTGGGAATTCTAAGCGGTGGCGTGGTGACGGTAAAACATGTTTACGGAAGGAAAGGTAAGGAAGAAGAAAAGGAGGATACAAAGACTGAATAGGGAAATGTCGCGTATCGCGACATTATCGACTTATCCCATTTTGGGACAAGTCTGCACGTTGTTTTCCATCCGTCCACAAATCTTTGTACACTTCCATTTAACTTTCACCACCGTTATCGTAGACTTTTTCGCCGGCCAACCGGATTTCCAATCTTTTCTGTAATAGCTTTCCCAAATTATTTCGGAACCATGATTTTTCGTTGGCATTTTTAAAGTCGAATACCAACGCCATACTATTGGGAACCAGAACAGAATCTGGTTTTAGTTTTGGAATATTCACATAGATTTCCTCCCCGGGTTTGGCGGAATTTGGATTAAACATGATTAAATGTCTCGTTCTATTTCCCACGAGTTCCGTCCTGGATTGACGATTAAAGTCTGGCATTAATTCTTGTGTTCGGCTTTCCATCTTTTCATGGGAAGGATCAAATAAAAAAAAATTCTTTTTTCTTCTTCTTAAAATATTCATAGATGATGGTGGTGATGAGAATAGCGACGATCCATAAATTTTTCACGAGAAATTCTAATCCTTTTGCTCCCCAACTCAGTATGGTACTTAAAATATTCAGGATCGGAATGAGGATCGGTAAGGCAGCTTTCGCGAATTTCGCCAACGCTTTTCCCACTTCTCCCAATCCTTTCGCGGTACCGACCAACGTCTTTTTCCCGGCGACGACGACCGTCGTAATGATACTTGCGATGGAGATGATTGATAAAACTCCTAAATTTTCTTTGGCCCATATTTTAAATTTTTCAAATCTCGTCCTTATGTCGTCGCGTACCTTTTCGCGGACGCGGTGAATTCCCTCTTCGGATTCGGGATCTTGCATCATCAATATTTTGTTCGACGATCGTTAATCCATCCTGTAAGATTTCTTTCCGTTCGGGATCGGATTCTGTCCGTAAATCCTGCCGAAGTCGTTCACATTCTATTTTTAAATATTTTATTTTTCTTCGGGTTCTCCTTTGGGTACGGTAATTCCAATAAGTTCCCTTGTTTCTTGTTCGGTACATTTTCCGTCACGATGGAGTTGTAGAACCCGATCGTTAAATTCAATATCATCATCGATATTTTCACGATGTATTTCGTCACGTACATCGTCTGAAATAGCATCGATGTTCTCACCATTCGGAACTTCTTCTTCCACAATACTATTCAATGTTTTTTGATGTTCTTCCGTCGCCTTTTCGAATGCGGTCCTAAAATTCAGTTGACCCTGTGCGTTCGATGTATTTTTCGATAAGAAATAATTTCCATTTCTATCGATAAATGCAACTTTGACATCAACGAATGTCAACCAATATTTATCAACAACACCCAATCGGGAAAATAAATCTTTTGAATTCGGTCCGTCGTTCGGATTCAATCTATAATCCTCCGTGAAAAGTTCTTTCATATATTTTGATTTTAAATCAACGGGCGATCCGGTCGTATACAGTGAATTAGTTTCCTTTTTTCTTTTTGTAGATGTATCACTCTCATTGTTTTTCTTAAAATCCATCATCCATAATTCATTGTCTTGTCTATCCAAATCTTCTAATCCTGTTTCGTACAAGTCATTGTCCAGATTAAATTCCTCCCAATCATCCCACTCGTAATCATCGTCGCGATGTCCAAAGTCATTCAGTTCGATATCCATTTTATTTAGTACTTAAATCCAGCGATAATTCATGTTCATAAAATCTTCCTAAAATTTCTCTGTCGGGGTCGTCGGAATCTTTGAGTTTATACATGTTCGGATCACCGCGAAACACTTCCAAAACGTCGTTGGTATAATTCGGCGTGTATCCTTTTTCGAATGTTCCCTGTACGATCATATCTCTTACGCGATCCCCGACTTTAAATTTCGGTTTTGGGAAATGGGATAACGGATATCCGTAAATTTTCGTCCAGACTTCATCTTTATTATTTTCGTTCACATCTGCCGGTTTCATTCCAATGGTTCGATGTTTGGAATGATTATAGGAATTTACAAAATCCGGCAAGACATCTACCCAGACGATTGTCTTATTTTCCGTAAAATATTTCCACATTCTTGTTTTTAACGTCCTGTTGAATCTTTCGACGATCGCCGCTTTTTTATCCGTCCCCGTCGAAAAATAATGAATGTTGTGTTCCTTCAATGATTTGACGCCGACATTATAAAATTCTTTTCCGTCGTCGAATTGGGCTGTTTTTGGATATCTTCCAAATCTTTCTTTGAATTGTCCTAAAACTTTTTCGACGGCTTTGGCCATACTTTCGGTATTTTTCCTCCATACAGGAACGGCAAATGCATACCGACTTAAGATTTCGATCACCGTTAAAATCCAATTATTTCCACCGTTTCTTTTCCTTTTACTCCCGTATTTCTGCATATCCACAAGATCCATTTGAATCTGTTGGGCGAGTCCGTCGACGTAGGTCCTCTGTGTTTTAAAATGTTTTCTAATCGGTTTATGGACGATGTAGGTATTCTGAGTCTGTAACCATTCTTTCACATTTTTTCGCGTGACTCCTTCGATGCCTTCTTCGACCGCATCCGAATATAATTTCTCCATCGACATGCATCCACCGTTGACGTTAAAATAAAGTTCGCGTAAGGCTAAATCCAAAGGTAATCCCATTCATATTTTCATAAATATAAATGAAGAAGATAACGGTATACGTCGAAAATGGAAAAACTACGATGAAATTACTGAATCCGTTAGTTCTAACGCACACGTCCAAACTCTACGTCAAAACAGCCGCCATCTTTTGGAATTATCAGAATATTCGAAAGGGATACAACGACTATTTTTCCATCGACGGGAAAAAAGTTGTGTTGGACGAAGGATACTGGACGTTTAAAAATTTACGAAAAAAGTTGGAAAGTCATGGATTATCCGTCGAAGAATTTCCCGACGGTCGCATCAAGATCGGATTTACGAAAGGTATAAAATCTTTAAACTTATGGAAACTGAACGGTCTGCTGGGATACACTACCTTTTCAATGACGCATAAAAGTGATCGTTCCGTAGATATTCACGAAGGATTATGTTACGTGACGGTCGGATGTAATTTAGCGAACCGATCCCAAAATATAGATCCGATGGGATTTCCCAGTAATGTCATCACGTCGCTTCCCATCGACGGAACGAAACCCTTGTTTGGAATGACGACCAAATACAACGACATCGAAGTTTATACCGATGTGGGAATTTACAACGAACTTCATTTCGACGTAAAATCTAACGTTCACGATATCATACCGGGAAATGTTTTAATGGAATTATACATCGTATAATAAAATGGACGATCAATTATTCCGTCAATATTACGGAAAAATTTACGAAAAGGTGAAAAAAGCCTATCCCCTCGAAATCCAAAAGATGAAAACTAATTTTTTAAAAAAATATCCCAATGCGACATTGAGTAAATTTAATTTTGAAGTCGACTTTACCAAAGACGGTGCGGTAAATTCTACCGAGATTTCGTACAAGGTCAACAATCTTACAAGTTACGATATTACGTCCGATACATTTCATACGAATCCGGATTGGACGAAATACTTATATTGGACGAACGGATGGCGTAACGTCGCGTCGGATATGATATTCTGTCCCAACCAAGATTTTTCGATGAATTTACACACATTTAAAATTTACGAGTCGGACTCTTTTTCCGTCCATCTCGAATACACGACACCGCAATATACGGAGACAGGAAAATTTATGGATTTAATTCCGTTTGATTACCACAAAAATTCTTATTTTTGTTCGCTGGCAGCCTGTTACGTCGCTACCTTCAAATCTGGAATTTCCGAAGATCACCTGAATAATAACATTTCTCATTTGGTCACATCGACCGTAAAATTTCACGTTCATTATCAGATGGAAAAATTCATGAAAAATCCAAAATTACTGGATCATTTACTGACCGAAGATGATATTGTTACCATCCAAAAACACACGCCCGTCCACGAAACATGGGAAAGACGAACCGTCTCCTCGCATGCGAATGTCGGAACATGGTATTACGGATTACCGGTGGATACTCGTCGTAAAATTCGCAATCAGCATTACGTACAAACCCGATACGGCGGAACGTACGTCATCTACGAATATTTAACGGGAAGATACCCAATAACGGGAAGATACCCAATTCATTCCGAAAACATCGCGTGGATTGACGAAATTAGGACAACGCCTCTTTCAACAATCTCTCGAAGTTTATACCTACTCCGTGCTTGGATCGCAAGCGAATACCCGGTGGAGTATTACGGGACAGGGCGCAAAAAGTTTACAGACGCAAGACGTCTTTCGAAAAGTTTTAGGAGACAGTATCGTACAAAATGACGTCACGACGATCATTCGAAATATGCGGACGGCGATCGCTGATACACACGTCGTCCTCAACTTTGCCATCATGCCAGGATTAATTTTAATACCGTCCGATATGAAAATATTAAGGAAACCTTTACCCGGGTATAATAATATTTTAACGATCGCTAAAAATGGTATGAGTTTTGGAAAGAATGAAAAAGTGAATTTTACGGAGGAACCTGCGGTAGAAAAACATACAGTAAATCCCGTGAAAAAACCTACAGTAAATCCTGTAAAAGAACCTACAGTAAATCCTGTAGAAAAACCTACAAGTCCAGCGATAGATCCTACGGAAAATACAACCGTTCCGAATTCACAAACTTTAAGTTTGGGAATCATTACCCAAATTTCGGTAGGAGTTGCTTATTTTCTATTCAGATAAATGAGTATACTCATGGGATATGATTATTTTGAAAACAACGACCTCGAAAAGAAGGTCGCGGACATGGAAGAGATACAACAGAGAAATACGGCCGAAATTCAGAAAAATGAAACCGAACTGATCGACTTGAACGACATCGGAAGAAATCCACCCGTTCAATACGATCTCACACAACTTTACGGACCTTCCACCGGGATTTCTCGAAACCGTCACCGTCTCGGCAACCGATCAAAAAAATGCAAAATTCATTATTTTTAAAGTAAGTGGTGTCGGTATCAATCAGGAAACGCAATCTCCCACGTACGGATTTTACGGTGGAAGTACGGGAAATGTCACCATGTTTACCGAAACGCAAGCGAGTGGCATCGTTCATACGATGTTTACATTCTTTTACATGGCTACTAAAATTACCGTCTACGGATTAAAATTTAGAAATATTGATACGGCAGGAAATTCATCCGTTTGGAAAAAATCAACGGTTCTCAAATGTTTTCTCGTCATGTAATTTTTTAAGTTCTTCGTCACTTAAAAAATTCACAGTATTCGCGTCAACGCGTATCCGCTTCTGAGACCGACGACACTTACGGTAACGTACATATATTTTTGCATGTTGTCCGACAGTCGATAATAATCACTTAATTTCGGTTTACGATCCGGAGCCGATAAATCCATCCGTCTGTTATAATTTCTCAGTTCGTCCAACGCCTTGTTCGTCTCTTCGATATCGTGATTCGCGTCTAAAATTTCTTGACGTCGACGTAATTCTTGATTCCGTCTTTTCACTTCGGATTCGTAAAATTTCTCCTTGGCCTCGGCTAATTCTTCCAACGCATGATTATGTCTTTTGACTTCTTCCTTGAAAATAAGAATCCTGCCCCCGCAAACGCGACGGCATTGAATAATCCGCCGACTATTAGATTTGGTGTCATCATTTTATTTATTATCCTTATTCGATAATAAATACTGTACTAATTCGCACATGCCAACGGGTAAATCAAGTATATCGTGATTCACGATATACTTTAATCTACCGTATGTTTATTTATTGATTATTTTGGGAATGTACCCTTTCTCTTTCAGATACATGACGGTAAATGAACTTCCCGCGACAGCGAGACTTAATTTCATCGCACCTTCGAACGTCATAGGTGCCCCCAAACTTTTCCCGACGATAGTTTTCGCAGCGTACGAGACGCCGACGACACCTGCAGTGAGTAATGCGGTGGGCGTTGTAAAGATCGTTCACGACTTCTTTTTTCGTTGTATCGGACATATTGTTCTTTTATTTCTACGAGAAATGAAAAAAAAAATTATTTACGACCGACATAGTTTTTCTATTTCATCAAGTTCATGGTTCGCTTTTCCTAATTCCTCCGTAAGTTTTTTATTCTTGGTCCAAAGTTTTATATTTTCGGTCCGTAAATCTTTTACCCTTTCTTGAAGATTATAATGTTCTATTTCGAGGTTGTCAAACTCTTCGTTTTAGATTGTCTAATATTTTCTTGTGCAATCAATCCACCTTTCCTCCCAGCCTTAACTTTTCGTTGATTCTTAACGAGTTCCCCCTTGCGGACTAATTCACCCCGGGCTTCCGTCCGATCGTCTATTCTGAGTTGTTGTAATTCCATATCATCAATACCCTTTATCATATTCATAACTCCCGGTAATGTATACGTTCCCGTTTTCCGAATAGACGGAAGAACGTCTTCGAATACCCACCGTTGGAAATCCTCGGCGGTAGGTAGTCTTGAACCAAATACAAGACTGTATAGACCGGGTTCGGTAACAAAAACCCTGTTGGGTTGTACACCACCGGGTATGTTAACAAAGGGGGCCGTGTTTCCCGGCCCCCTTATATTTCTAAGTGTGGTCCTCATCCATTCTTTCGTGTGTCTAGTAACGACATCGCGTGTTCTAACATATCCAAGTGCGGTTGCCAGTTCCTTCCCTGCGAAGTAAAATGTATCACTACCATCGTCAGACTGAATGGTGGTAATCTCGTTATCACCAATCAGCGCTGAATTCTTCAGTATCATCACCTTCATTTTTTAACATCATATGAAGTTTTCCATAAGATGTTTATCATCCAGTCAAACCCCGCGCTGAATTTAATGCATTGTGGGAAGGAGTGTGTTTCCCGCTACTCATATTCCTTGATCTTTCATCCGTATGACTGATAATAGCAGTTAATCCTAATCAAACGGGCCGTCGAAGTGTACTTTCGCGGGATTTTGTTTCGTCGGGACTTCTTCTTTTTCCTCTATAGGTTCTTCTTCTTCTTCCTTTTTCTGACTTCGCCACATAAAATATAAGGTTCCGAATCCTACAATGATGGTAGAAATCAAACCTAATTTTTTCAGGGAAAATGTTGAAGTTTCATCATCACTTTCAATACTTACTTCCCGTTCCGCTTCTTCCCGTTTCGCTTTCTTGTTGGCTTTGGCCTGTTGACTGATAGCCGCCAATCTTTTTCCCGCCGTGACTCGACACGGATCTTTGACTTTTGGTTGTTCCGAAGGTTTTGTAACCAGTGGGGTTGATACTGATGGTTCCGTCATTTTATTATATAGGTAGATTTGCTTAGTTTTACTTCTTTTTTACTTGGATCTACTTAAAATTTACTTGTAAGATATTACAGGACGTACTGGAAATTTACTGAAGTCTTACTCACAAGATCCAACAGGACACACTTAAAATTTACTGGGGAATACTGTCAAGTCTTGCTTGTAAGGTCCTACAGTACATACTCAAAAATTTACTTGGGTTGCTGTCAAGTCTTACTCGTAAGATTCCACAGAACGTCCTTCAATTTTACTTGAATTTATTCGTCAGTAAATTCAAGTCTTACTGGCTCCTTTGTAACCGATGGCCAACGTGTGAATTTGATCTTCGCAAATAACTCTCTTGTCGTCGTCGGTGGATAACGTGACTTTACTCACCCTTTCCGTATGAATGATATGTTTTCGACTACGGATGGTATCCATTTCGCGCCATTGTTTCTCGCCCGTAAAAAGACAGTTCTTGTAATCCTCAAATTTTAAAGTTTTCTTGATTGTGGCCTTCTTAATTCCTTTCGCTTTCTTTTCTTCCTTGTCACCATCCAACTTGAACAAATATAATTTCGCTCTCAGACCGACAAATTCATTAATCTGTTTGGCGGCCATTTCGAATTTCATCATTCCCAATACTTTCTTATTCTTTCTGCACGGAACTCTCGATGGATGGGATTTTGGGAAACTACTCGTATCGAACCATTCGTCCACGTCGTTCGAAATGTCTTTGAAAAAGTCTTCGGTTCCCACGTGTAAGATGAACGAATCCGTATCCGTGTACATTAGTCTCACGTTCTCTCCAAATTTCGGTTTGAGATAGTCGTAGAAAAATTTGTACATATGTAATTTGCTCAGTTCTAGAATTGCGGCTCCCACGTAAATAGGTTTGTTCAAAAAAGTCTCGGTCTTTTTCATGTGGGATGCAACCAGATCTTCCGAAAAGATCGTCGCACTCTCGAAATTTTGTTTTCTCGCCAACTTGTTTCATTGTTTTTCGTCGTTGACGAGACAAATATCCGTACGGTTTCTCACGTTCTCCATTGTCTTCCCAAAAACAGCATTACACATCAGTTTGTAAAAATCTTTTTCGAAATCCGTCGTGGCTTTTTTACAAAATTCGATGTTCATATGAATATATTCAGACATCCACGGTTTTTCCGAAAACATGAGTCCCTCGTGAATCTTCGTTAATTTCATCCTGTGATCCAGATAAAATTTTAAATTCCTTGCGTGGACGACATATTCTTTTTTGTCTCCTAAATTCGGTGCTAATTTTAACGTACCGCTTTCCGTCATTATCCTTTCGGGAGCGAGCGGATAGTCGCTGTGGAAGTCGTGAAGTTCTTTCGGATATTTTAAATCCACTTTTAGAAAACAACCTTTTCCCTCCGGAAGTCGGTCCCGATTTTCCAGTAAATCTTCCGACATCCATTCGAAGCCTCCGTAAGGTAAGGGTTGACTCATGGCGTACGCGTACAGACTATTCGCATCCAGATACGAAATGAATATGGACGGAACGTCGGGTTTTTGGGTTGCGAAGATTGGTTACCCATCTCGTAAGATTTTTACTCACGTATGTCATAATCTTATCGTCCTCTTCCTGACTATAATTCGATAAAAATTTACAGAGTCTGTTTTCGAAATCTAAAACTTTTCCGTCGATATCTGTCGGATCGTTCCGAATCCGTAAATCCAATTCTTTCATTAATTCTATGACACCTTCCGGAATATCCGAAATACCAACGTACTTATTATCGGCGACTCCGTATCGCATCACTGCCGTACTCACACCGCCGCGAATTCCCTCTTCGATGAATTTGTTCATTTTTTTGTTGGTAATTAGTTGTAAGACTATCCTAGTCATTTTCAGACATGCGTCCCACGATAATCCCGGGGATGTAAAATACCACGGAGGATCCAAACCGTACATCTTCCTACTTTGTTTTCGGAAATTTTCGATCACGTCGGATAATATCAGCGTGTCCGTTACCAAACGTTCGTAATTTTTGTCGCTAATATCTTCTCCTGTTAATCCGCTGTAAAATTTCTCTTTGGGAGGAAGACATCTTTCATCAAACTTATCGTGTCCATCCATTTACTCGTAATGATACACCCCTTTCTGTTTTAGTAAATCCCGTTGTTCTTTCGTGTATCCCATTTTGTCACAATACCGATCCAAACTTATAAAGTCGGTCTCCTTATCCAATCCCAACGCAAGTTTATCCAACGACAACGACATCACTTTGAGGGAATCTAAAAACCGAATTTCAACGGTCTTGTTGTATTTCCCTCCGGTTTCTTCGTCCATAAATGGTCCTACGGAAATCATCTTCGAAAAAGATATATATTTTCGTTCCGTCTTGGAAAGACATTTAAATCTACCCGGTATCCTTGCAAGCGCACGAATGATCAGATGCGCATCGTATCCTTCGAGATTATGAAAATATGCTGGAACGAACGACGGAACCTGCATTTTTAAATTACACGTGTCACAAGCGGCACCGCGGTATTTTCCGGTAAAATGACAGTGATCTCTTACCTTGTGATTTTCTTCGGTAAATTCACGGTCACATACATAACAGCAAGTCTTTGACTCGTGACTTTTCATTTGATTATGAGACATCTCTTCCATGGGAACGGGATCGTGAGTTTTCTGGAAAAATTCACGTACCCTTCCGACGACATCATTCACAAACCTATCGGATATACATTGTAATTTGTGAACCGATATATGCTGGATCGTCTCCGACTTCATACAATAAGAATTCATAATATGTTCATGTAACTCTTCCGTTCCGGAAGCTTTGGGATTATTATCCTTTTCGATATCTTCCTTTTTCTTTTTCAGGAAAGATTCAGTATCGGCGCTGATCACGTACGGATGTATCTGCGTCCTTCTTTCCCCTTCGAATTTACAGACAGAACCTTCCTCCGGAAATTCATCCGTCTGATGTTTTTCATTCAAACACCATTCCAAATGTTTTTTCAAAAGATCTTTTCTTCCAAATCCATTCAGACATTGATCACAAATATACTTTTTGTGTCCGTACGAACTCATCTGAGATCCGACAAGTTTCGACATACTTTTGACGATGTAATAATGATCGCCCCAAAGAAAAAAGACGTATCGTACGCGTTCCACCCGAAGAATAACACTTACTTATTCATAACGGATGGATTCTGTCTTCTTCCTCGTTCAAATGAAATACGTTCACACAGTTATTTTTTTCGAAATTTTCGATAGATTCTCCGTCGACCGGTGTCGGAAATTCAACACCCTTCCAATATAATTCTTCTGCCTGTTCACGAAGTTTTTTCATAATTCTTTCCGGATGCTTACTCACAGGATTCAAGTCACGGGTTGCTGCCCATTTGAAACATTGATCGTCTGTATTTTTCATGTTGATCATCGCTTTCTTTTTTTCCAACCATTTCGGAAGGGAAACGTTAGATCCCTTACCTTGTAATGAAGTAAATTTTCCGACGTGAATTTGAAGACGAAGTACTCTTTTCAAAAAATACTGACTTCCTTCCTTCTGATATCGAGAGAACTCTTCTAAAACCTTATCTTTCATCTTTTCCCAAATATCATCCGTCATACTATCCACACCGTGAAGTTTGTAATTTCCCGTCGTAAATGTTGCTTCTTTCTCCGTCTCCTTCCCATTCTGTTCTTTTCCCATCAGACAGATTAGTCCGATCCTTATGTTTCGTGATTTGTTGCCACGTAATCCATCCAAAAGTTCCTGTACTTTTGGACGAACGGCTTCCAAGAACGGAACGGGATCGTAAGCTACGGTCGGTTTAATTATGTAACAGGAGACCATTCCACGCAACGCAGTTTCCTGAAGAACCGGTGTCAGATCCAAAAGTCTGGCCGCCACTTCCTTCTTTTTCGCACGTCTTATTCTTGCCAACTCATTCCGACGAAGTCTCTGGTCGCGTTGATGGACCGTCTCGTTCAAATCTCTCCGGTCTATCTTTTCCTTGTGAACATGTCTTTTTTCTTCCAGCACACGCCTCTATTCTGCCGCCACCGATCTTCTCACCACACCACGACGTCTTGCCTCTTCTCTCGCAATACTATTTTTACGATGAGTCTCTTCTCTCGCAATACTCTTCTCCCACGACTTTTCTTCCGCCAATCTTTTTTTCATGTTTCGAATATTAAACTCGGGACGCTTCTTACGCTCCGATGCAAGTTTCTTAATCTCGCTACGGAACTTGGGTTCTGGGTTAGCCGATGTTGACATCTCTTATTTATTATACATATCTATCCCTATAAGGTGTTGGAAAAAAAACTTCCCATACTCCAAATGAGTATGGGGGAAAAAATAAGAGATGAGTCGGTTAGTCCGAAGAAATTCCGCGCTGATCGGAGGTGGTCTTTTTATGTTGTTTTATATTTACATAAGCTGTTGATGAAAAAAAAAAAATTATTTTTTTCCGGCCATAACGTGAATGATTCTAACATCAAACCGCTAACCGTGTACCAACGACTTAATCCTATCCAATATCGACCAAGACGATAATCCCACTCAAATAGTTTCAAATCCCCGTTCTGTATCGCATTATCTACGAGAATTTTTTTCAAAACCGGTTTACCCATATTCGTTACAAAATCTAATCCCAACTGACTTAATTCTCTCTTCATTTCTTTCGCTGTCATTGCTCCGATCTCCGAAACAGATCTCGACGGTTCCGCAATCTTTTCCCTATACAACTGTAAAAGAAAAGATTTCCTCGGATTACAACCATAAGGAATTAAAACCTTTCTGAATATTGTTCTTAACTGAACCACCGTCAGTGGTTTAGGTCTTACCTCTTCTCTGATAACCTTCCTAACCCCAACCAATGCTTCCTCCGTCACCAACATCATCCTATTCCTTAACTCCGCATATTCCCTTAATCTTTCGACCGCTTTCTCTGGCCTACCCCTACCAGCATCATTCACAATACCGATATAAGGAAATTCAGTCAGACGCGTCCGCCTCACGATATTCCCTTTTCAAAAACCGTTCTTCTCACACTCCGATGCGAGTCTCTTGATTTCCGAACGGAAATTAGGTTTTGAATTCACCATACCTCTTTATTTACCATACATATAGTTCCCCTTTAAATACTTGACGAGGCCGATTTGTTCACGAAGGTCTCTTTCATGAATTTCTACATCAAGTTTTTCCATGAAAATTTTTATGAAATGTTTCATGAAGTTTATTTTTACGGAAAATTTTTACGGAAGTTTTTATGAAAATTTTTTATGGGAAATTCCTTGAGGACGCTAAGGATGCCGGGGACGTTAAGGATGCTAAGGATGTTAAGAACGTTGGGGACGGAAAGAAATAGGGAAAAAAAGACGGAAATGCTTATATGTATGGTGAGGAAAAAAAGTGGCTCAGGATCGGTGTTTGTTCCCTACTAATACTTAATCCGTGTATTGTCATCAGAATCTAAGAGAACTGCAACTGCAACAGAAAGAGAAAGGAAATGGTTGTAAAGATCCTTTGAAACAACATTTTTTAGAACAACAGGTCCAGTATAGAGTAGGAACTGGCGAAATTCAGTAGCTTTCCATCTCGGGAGCTCATCAAGTGACCTTGGCTGCCTGGCAAACTCACTAGGTGCCTTTTAAAGATGTTAAGTGGTCAGATATCTATGCAAACTGTTGGGAAGACAATTAGTAGTATACCCAGAAAAGTATCACATTTTTTGGGGGGGTGTGGGAATTTTTTCATTTTACTATAAGATAGTATTGTAAAAGAGTCGGGTGAGGCTACAAAAGTGTTCGAAAAAAGTGTCCCTGGACGGGGGGGGGGGACTTTTTTTTGGGCGTGGTCCGGGGCGTGGTCGAGCGACGTGCGCTCGTGTGTGTTGCGCGCATGCGCGGCCGAGATGCGACGCCGAAGCCCTGGTCGACCGCAATGAGCGCGTTTGAAATTGGCGCGCGACTTTATGGGTCAGACGGAAGTAATGTTATGCAAGCGTGACGTGTGTTTTTTCAAAGTCAAATTCAAATAACAACGTTTTAGGTTACATTATAATATTTTATTCATCTTTTTTAATAATTTACACAGTTTTATTTTTAATACATGCTAGTTTATTAACAATATAAGTAAGTTCAGTACAGATTGGAGTGTTTTTTTCAACATAGGGTAACATGTTCATTTCTAAATAGTTCAAATGTGCTAAGGTGTCGCGATGTTTTTTAATTTTTTCCAATGATTTTTTTCATCTTTCTGAGATGAATTAAAAACTGCTGTAATGTTTTATAGCAAAGCATTTGATGTCGTAAGGGTGTTTGGTGTATATTTGCGATTTTTTTCATATCCTCCCCGCGGAGGTCAATTGCTGTAGTTCTTTAAGTGCTAATGCGGCTTCAGTTTTGATGTCTTCGTTTTCGTCACCATCTATATGCATAATGCTTGCGTCGTTGGTTGGTCTACCCGAGCCTCGAACCCCTGTTTTCGTGCGTCGTCGTTTTATTTTTTTCTCATGTTCATTCTGTAAAATGTTTTTACCTTGTCCAAGTCCAACACCGTTTGTGGTTATTGCTTTATTTTGACTTGCAATTGTTGGTTCGAAATGAGATTCGTTAATACTCATAATAATGTCCGAGATTTCGTGCTGTTCAAATGTGGTTTCAGAGTTTTCGTCTTTGCTGGAGTTTAGGGTTTCAAGGAGTGTTTGTTCAATTATATTTGGTTCACCCTGTACGGTTTGTGGCTCCATGTTTGCTTGTTGTGTTGTGCGTTCTAGCGAAAAGGTATTAAAGCATGTCTGATCGGGTAATGTAGCCAGTTTTGTAGGAAGGTGGAGGGGATCGGGTTGAAGAAGGGTTGGTGTTACTACGGCTGTCGTTGGCATTGTTGGTGGTGTTGATGAGTATTGTCGATGCCAGCGGATAAATTGCAATTCCTGCGAAATACCCGTATTCATATTGCAGAATTGTTCAAAACTGCAAAATAAATCTTGGTATGCAGCGTAATTCTCGTTTGTTAAAGAAAAACCCAAGTAGTCTACAAAGCGTGTAAATCGCTCCATCTTGTAGACTTGTTGTATGTAAATGATTATACTGTGCTTGTTTGTGCAATGTTAATAGCGAGAGTTGGTTGCGTTTACCCAAATATGGTCATTAGCGTATTATTTTTTTAACATTCGACGAGATTATTACCCAATCTTGGTTGTGTTATTGACCAAATATAGTCAATTATATCCGTTGAGCAAATTCTGCATAGGGTGCGTTATTGACCAAATATAGTTAATGTGTCCGCGGGTGTAGTATTGACCGAATATGGGTAATTATGCTTGTTTGTTTTTTTAGAATCATGGTCAAGGTGACGCTTATCAATGTCAGAGTTTTTGTGATGCTATTGTTGGTATTAATTTTAGCTGTATTTTATGCGACACTATTTATATCCGGCACGCATGAGGGCGTAAGAATTATACGCGACGTGTTGGTTTCATTGTTGGCCAATTGTACAATAGACGGGCTACATACTCATTATTCAAATACACACGTTTGGTTTCCAGGAGAAAGTGAAGAATTTTAAATAAAAGGTATGGAAGATTGTGTTCGTTTGCATAGTGCAGGCATTTATGCTCATTTTTTTCAAACGGGTGATTGTATTCGGGTTGTAGACCCTTTATCGGTCTTGTATACAAGTTTTATTTTTTTTGGTCGCTGTCTACAAGGTGTTGAACACGTGATCTGTTTGGATAGCACGGCTTGTTTTTTAGAAAATGACATACATTGGTTTGGCATTTATATATATGAACACTATTCACAGACGCGCTCTAAGGGATATATATGTGTTTCGAAAGATGGTGTGATAACATTTGATGCTACATTTAATCGTTTGACGCAAACTCAACAACAATGTTTTATAGACTCGTTATCGCGCCAAGTATTGTTCGCAGATTTGCTGGGTGAGACGTGTTGTGTAAAATTATATTTACAGATTGTGAAAGATTGCGGCGTGTTAGCATCACCCGATCTATTATTTTTTCTTAGACAATATGCGTTTCCAACCAAGAGTGATGTTTAATTATGGTCGTGAATTTGATGGGTCTACGATTGACGCCCCCATAATATGTGCGCGTGGGTTGTGTAAGAAAATAACTGCCTATGTATCTTTGGATGCTAGTTATAATACACCCGGTGATCATACTATGATTTTACGGTATTTTCATTATGGTTGCGAGGAAATATTGCGGGGTAAATATGGCGTATATATGACAGTGTCATTGAAGCAGGAAAAAATACATACAAATATTGTAAACAAGAACAGCCTTCACAAAAAGATGTGTGAAGATATAGAGATAATTGTTAGCGGTATGCTGGCATATGACATTGTTAAAAATACAGACGATATACAATTAATATGGTTGGAAGAATACGGGCTCGCGGTTGATGAAGACTTATTATATGAATTTGATGCGGTTGTAAAACAGTTTTACTCTTTTTAAAACTCTTTAACGACACGACCCTATTACCGCAATGCTTGTAAGCAATACGCTTTGCCGATTTAATATCTTCGGTTCATGTGACTAGATCTCCTCACTCGTAGCAATAGTTTTAGTCATTGGCAACATTATAGCGATTTATGAGCTTTAAAAGTAAAGTGAGATCGAATACGATCAAATTACGCATTTTACCAACAAATTATAAAAACATAAACATACCTTATGCCGAATATAACTTCGGCCCCTTGAAACGTATGCTCATTGCGATATTCTTGATGAATTAATCATTTAAAATGCCATGTATAACGTTATTTCCAAGCTTCTATCCTTAAAGGGTGACTTTTAGTGCCGAATTTTACATTTTTGCTCCGAATTTGCGATAATCCCAACCGGAAATATGACGAAAACTCGTCAAAACAATGCCACGCTTGTATCGCGTGACTCTGGAAATGCCAGAAATGGACTCTACAGGTCTTTACATTTGAAAAATTGAATTGTAATGTAATGCAAAACTACTTGTCGACAAGGAGTTAAGGACATGTATTTTGATGAACTAAAATTATCAGGAATGAGATATGACGGGTATATTAAATTTTGAAATTGTGGCTCAGGAGGTGTGCTGTAAAATTGCCACGGAAAAAGATGATTTAATCTCGCCTCTTTTGGTTGCGGACATGTTAGTTCATTACAAACGTTTATTAAATAATTTAGAGAGGTAGTTTATGCAAATTGTGACTGTGCTCATATATTTGATAGACATAAAAATTGTAAATTATTAAATTTTTTTCAAAGTTGTTTGTGCTTTGTCTTGTGTTGGATGAAATGGTTGATGCGGCGTACCTCGCTAAACAACATAGCGAAATAACAGAATATGATAATGCATATATCAGGAAATGGGGTGGATATAGACGTGTTACGCATATTATCGATTGTGAGGGTTATTCGACACCGCGTTCTAAGACATTTTTACCCGAGGTCTCAATATGGTGTAGACAAACGGGTGCAATTTTGACATATCATATATATATGCCCGATAAAAGACTATTTTACGAAAAACATGCGTGTGTACGTTATCAAATTGATAATATACACAGGTTACCTATAACAAGATGTTCCGACGGTCGTGATATTGGTATGCCCGGGAAATATTACTCATATGATGCGGTGATAGCAAATTTACGACAAATATTTATGCATGCCGATCTAATTGGTTACAAGGGTGGTACAATCGAGCGTGATTTACTAAGCTGTCTGGGTTACACAGGTGTGAATATAGAATTGTTGGAATGTCCGCGTTATGAGGAGTTATTGACCAAATATGGTGTTACGTCGCATACCTGCGGAAGGCATTTGACGGGTTATAAATATCATTGTAGCATGCATGAAGTAGAACTTTTCGGACGGTATTTAGAAGAGTATGGAAAATGTTAACATATTTTGAGCGTCACGGTTGCGAACCCGGTGAAAAATATATAGTCGAGGCGTTTCAGATTTTGGTTTCAATATACCCGTATCACCCTATTTTATGGAACTTATACAGCGTCAATAAATATCTATATTCATATAAACCCGAACCACTAAAGGAAAAACGTATACACGACTACGTATTCACGGACCCCGACGATGTGTGGTTTCACGGGGAGTTGGACGAGGTATGTGATGTTTTAATTTGGTTAAATCCCAAGACTATAGCGGTGTCTGTAGTGTTCCGCCATGAGAGTCGAAAATTTTACACCATTCCCGCCGAATGGGCAAAACATTTAATTATACGGCGTGAGGGGTCGTTGTGGTGGTTTCATTATATGCCATTTGAGTTTTGTTGCCGACAAATTTTAAACAAGGACGGTGTGGGTATTATTGAATGCCGCAGCCTGGTGGTCGAATCTGAATTGTATATTGGCGAATGGTTTTATCATTTGGGTTTTGGCCCCTGTCAAGACACCCTACACACTGTATATGACATGCTCGATTGCTTTGTGGGGTTGAAACGGCTACATACGGCTTTAGAATCTTTGTTATTTGAATGGTTTTGTGTGCGAGTCCGGCGATCTTGGTCGAGATTGCGTTTATGAATTGATATACGCTTTGAGTTTAACCTGTAAACTATTACCACTTGCATATCCTATGATTATGACGGAAAAGAACAAGAGTATTATAGTGTTAGAAACATGTAATTTTAAAACGGCACATATTTTAAATATGTTGAAGCATATTTTAGTATGTAGTAAATGTCATACGTATTTAATTATGTTTTTGAAAGTATTGCTAAGGTCTGTAATCATTTATAAGCCATGCTACGGTGTTAAAGCTGTTAAAAATGCACATTCAGAATTAACGCACCGAAGACAAGTACCCGTGGCGCATTATATATTGGACGGTGATTTTAATTTACTATCGCAGAGCGCGTACACCAGTTTTGCTACAAAACGTACTGTTTGTGAATGCATTAAAACATTTATGCTTAAATATTGTTTTAATATAAAGTAATGGAATGTTACGATGTATATTCGTTGTATCGTAAATATATCTATCGTGCTTATGCTATTGTTGATATAATTTCGGGGTGTGTGTGTGGTTTTGTCCAAATAAGGAGCGTATTCAAAGACGTGTATATGTTGTTTTATGAGTGCGGGTATATATTACAAGTGCTCAATATACATAGACGGCGTAAGATAGTTGTTTCGTTGGCGGGTAAACAACTGCGTTCAATAAAGTGTGAACATTTTGAACTTGTTTATTATACAAGGGAGAAAAAACAAAATGTCTTTTAGAACATACTATTTTGAAGCATCCTTTGCTTTGTATGAGGGAGATGTGAATTTCAGAATACATGGCGCACTAGACGAGTTAGCCGACACCCATTCTCTGCATTATTTCAAATATCTTGATTACCCATTGCAGTTGTCGACCAAAGTGGTGGGAATTATACAGTTTTCAAAACGCGTAACACCCTTAGTTATTCGACAAACGTTTGCATCTTTTTGCATAATGGTAAACCTAACCTCGATTGGACGCCACCCTATTGTTGAACATATGCGTATTTGGGCGTTAAAACGACATCATGGTTTGCAGAAAGAAATTGCGGAAAGTGGCAATTTTAGTTTTGGCGGACCGGCTTTGGAGATGCACATGCCCATGATTTTACAAAACCGTATAGAAAAATATGCTTCTATTTTAGAAGAGTATTTGCTTAATGGTGCCAATGTGTTGAGTCATCACGAAGATTTACACAGATTGACTAAATTAGCAGGATTTGTAGATGCGTTAAGGCGGCTTCCAATGGATGTCATATAAGTAGCGTTATAGTTTTTTAGATCATAGTTGTGTATAATGTGGTCGTGTATGTTTCTCCTATGGAGACGTGTAAAATTTAAGAAAGTGGTAAGAAACATTTTTTAAAAAATGTTTACCATCAAATTTTTTACTTACAAACGTGTAAAGTTTAAACACAAAATGGACACCCTTAAACTTTTCACTTAGAAGCGTGGAAAGTTTAAACATAGACTTTATTAATTATTTGATGGGACAAAAGAGAAAATCCAAAGGTACTTTAGTAAATATTTATTATTATATTTTTACAAATTTAATATTAAAAATATTGTTTATTGATAATACTGATAATGTACGGGGACATTGTTTCTTTTTACCCGTCCTGTTTTTTGGGTGAGATTTCCCATACCCGCGCCGTACTGGTAAACTTTACGTCTTTTTCTGTGAGGTCTTTTTTTATTCACTCTCCCTCCACGCTGTCGACCCATTGATTCCCAACTGTTTTCAGTTCTAGGGTATATAGCCTGTGCCGGTTGTTCGTATACTGGTGTGTGGGGGGGGGGGGTCGCGCGGTGTGTTTTGGAGCAAAACGGTTGCGTAATCGGGCAACATATCGTTGTTTCTTAAATCGTGCCCAGTTTTTAAAGTATGTTATGGGATTAACCATTTGTCGATGTTCATTTTCATAACCGCCATCCATTGTAACAAGGTAAAAACTATTGAATTGGGTTTTAACACTTGTATTTATACCCAATAATCGTGTCCATAGTTTGTAAATATCTCTTGGTGGGGTTTTATTGTACTCATAGCTTTTAAACGAAAAGCATTGTTCCCCTTTATTTTACTGTTATTTTGAAATTGACTATGACGTGCATCATTTACAAAACGTGTCGCGGCGTCCGTGGTATGGTTTGCGTCTATACAGTGACCCCGCCGGTTACATACGGTATATTGTGCCGTTGGCCGTTGCATCGCCGTATCGACGGTCCAATTCTATTTTTGTTCTTTTACGCCCCGTATATTTGGAAATAATCTTACCCCGCGGTATTTTTTTTTCCAAGCGTACAGTCCCTTCCCCGCGTCGGGAATCTGCGAGGGTTTTATACGTAAATTGTCTTGTTTTGCCAGATGAATCCAACACTTTTTTGTGTGTGCAGTACGTTTACGGCATCGAACATTGTGAATTGTGTTGGATACACAGCGTTGAGATTTGCGTTTACTTTGTATAGGCGGGCGCCACCCATACATTTGTCTATATGTTCGTCTGTCAACAAATCGCCCGCCAAAAGCACGCATACGATCTAACCGTTCCCATAAATCACCCATAACAAATTAACCTGTAGAGTAGACGGTGACAATCCCCACGTATGTATCCTTGTGCTTTTCAATAAAATTTATGATTGCGTTTATTTTAGATAAAGGCACACTTGATACTGCAGTCTTGGCGGACCACTCTGACACTCTGTCACGCAGCAGGTTGGGCGGGAGATTTATAATTTGCCCTCCATCCAAGTGCCAATCAGCAATACACTCAGGTAGGATTTTTGTTGAGAATAATATTTCGGGATCATTGTCTTCGACTTCATAGGCAGCACGATTAATATCATACGCATTGGTAGCAAACTCATTTTGTAAATATATTGTAACATGTATACATACATCCCCCATTTTTACAAAACGATGTTGTTGGGGAAGCTGTGCGGTTGTGGTGGGGGTGATACGCCGTGGATAACATTTAAATGTGTTTTTATCAATAGAAGCGCAAATATCGCCATGGACGGTGTAGATGCGGGTGAGGAAAATTGTGAAGAAAAAGACGAATACGAAGTGCGCAGTTTGGGGTGTATACAATGGCGTCGTCGACGTAGAAAAAACGTAAGCGCAAAAACACAGAAAATGACGAAAATGGAAAGCGCTTGAAAGTGGACGAAGACATGTTGCGGGATATTGTGAAAATGGTGCGTGGTAATATACGTAATAAGAAACGTAAAATCGAGCTTACGCCGCAAACAATAGTGGATATTGCGCGAATGGCCAAAACAAACGCGAAGCAATTACGGTCAAGTAAAAAGGGAAAGCGTCTTCACTACCGTATCGAGCCACAAGATATTACCGAAATAGCAGAATTGGTAAAAAAAAATCGTAAAAAAATTAATAAAAAATTATTTAATGTCAAGCAAATTGCAGGACATAGACGGTGGGGGTATAACGAGTACGTGTATGATGTAGAAATTGGTGCTAATAATACAAGCACGCTGCCAGATTTTTTAAATAGTTTGCGTGAGGTTTTTAATTATCTAATTAATATAATGAAGTATATAGCTAGTTCGCCAACGGATAAAGCACGTTTCTATATCTCTAAAGCACCGACGCATGCCTTTTCAACAGCAATACTTAATGTTTGCGATTGCAATGCGGATTTATTTTTTGACGTGTTTGAGCGTCACATGCAAAGTAATGCAGAGGTGATTATTAATGAGGGTTGGCAAACGACCGTGAGTATTTTCATTTTTCCGAACAATTATATTCTGCGTACAAAAAAACGGCCTGTACGAAAAAAAACCCCAAAAATGTACGTGTATTTGATGAAAAATCCAGCCGAGTTTGGTCGGGGTCGTAAAAAAACAGCGAGCAAGCATGGTCGCGATGTTAGACATGGGGTATTTCAAATTGTTGGTCCAACAAATCGTTGCTTTGCTTATGCACTGCGGGTTGCATGTTCTTTTTTACACAATGACGAGATTAGTAAAAAACTAAAGATGAAGCCTAATACACCACTGACAACATTATACACAGACGAACAAATACGTAGCGTGTATACACAATGTGATGTAGTTCCGGGAAAAGTATGCGTGGGGGAATTGCACTCATTTTACGACAATCTTTTAGCAAAAAAAATATGGAATTGGTAGTTTTTTCTAAAACTCAAGGCGATACGGTTGTTTATGACTGGCGTGTAGATCGGGAGGGTCGTGTTTTACGTGTTAATGAAAATATTATTTATCTATGGTTAAACGACGAACATTATGACGTAATTCTTTCGCCAAATATTTTCGCACGATTATGCGCCTTTTGTTTTAAATGTATGCGACATTTTCAACGTACCGAATCAACAACTAACCATGTTTGTCGTGGTATGTACACTTGCCCCAATTGTTATTCGCCCAAATGCACTTTGTCCTGATGAGGGACTACATCAAGAATGTCCGTTGTGCGGTGTGATTTTTCGAAACGCCTCCTGTTATACGCGGCATTTACAAAAGCAGGTATTTCCCGTTGGTCAGCGTTATGAAACACCGTGTCAACATATGTTTTTTTGCTTAACATGTTATAAGCGCATACCCCGGATGGTACAGATCAACACCAAAAAACGGACGAAGCACAAATGTGATGAATTATATTGCACTCATTGCAGGGGTATTAAAAAAAAAAACACACGAGTGCTATATGAAAGTGTGTCGAATACATGCGAATGAGGATCATCCGACTTTATTTTTTTTTTATTTTGAAACACGCAAAGATGCCAAGGGTTATATGATTCCCTTTTATTGCGTGGTGCAAAAAGTGTGTGTAGAATGTGATGAAAAGCCATTTGAGAAAATAAACGAGGATTTTGAACCCGTGCCAAACGACCCGTATGCTGACGGTTCCGTACAACCTGTTATTTGTTGTGGTTATAGACAATATATATTTGAAAATAACAATGCGTGTATCACCCAGAATCTTGTTGATTTTATGTATGCGCAAGAGCGCAATAGCGTGTGGGTTGCCCATAACGGGGGACGATTCGACAATGTTTTTTTATTGTGTGAGTTGCTTATCGAGCGAAATGTTGTGCCGCAAACAATTATGAACGGTAATAAAATTATGTGTCTGGAATTAGAAGATCGTAATTTAAAAGTACTCGACAGTTTTTTATTTTTGAGTATAGCACATTTTACCGACTTGACATACGTGGGACCCATGGTGGGTTTAGAATATTTTGAACCACCCACTGAGGGTACTCCGCAGCGTTCTAAATTCGATAAGTGGTATGCGGCACAGTGTTTAAAACCTTATAATTTTAAAAAAGCCATTTATTATTATTGTCGTTTAGACGTGGATATTTTACGCCAGGGTTGTATAATTTTTGCGCGTTTGATAAAAAATATAACCGGTGTTTTTCCTTTTTATGACAAAACATGTCATACTATTGCCGGTTTGGCACTCAAAATATACCGGAGTAATTTTCTTGTAAAAGATACAATCGGGCAAATCCCCGCAAAGGGGTATGGAACACAGATTAAACAGAGCGTCATAGCATTGTACTGGTTACGCGAGATTGAAGCTCAATTAAGTGAAAATGATCATTTTTTACAAAGTACTTTGCGCGTGGATGGGGAAACACAGATAATGGGCCGGTATGTTGACGGTTATTGCGAAACAACACGTACAATTTATCAATTTCACGGGTGTTTTTATCATGGGTGTACGCAATGTTACGAGGGTGACGAATATAATACCGTGTTAAATGAGACCTATTACACATTGTGTGAACGTACACGTCGTACGGAGAAAATGTTTGAAAATGCGGGTTATCGGGTTGTTACTATGTGGGAATGTGATTACATGCAAACAAATAAATTGAGCAAAAAAACACTAGATCTTTTACATCATCGTGATTTTTTTATTAACGTTCACTTAAACCCGCGAGATGCTCTTTTTGGGGGTCGTACGTCACCCGCACGCTTGTACTTCGAATCGACGAAGGAAAAAGCATTTTACGGGGATTTTACATCCCTGTATCCCTATGTGCAAAAAAAAAATGTTTATCCGACACGGCACCCGACCATCATACGGGGTGAGGACGAATGTGCAAAAATACCCATTAATACAGTATTCGGTTTAATTAAATGTCGTATTGTGCCACCTCAACGTTTATTGTTTCCTGTGTTACCCTGTCGTGCTGGGGGTAAATTAACCTTTCCCCTGTGTAGTATGTGCGTATCATTGCGGTGTGACGAATGTACGCATGATGAAGATCAGCGTGCTTTGTGGGGAACTTGGACCAGTATTGAGATACAAAAAGCTTTAGAACACGGTTACAGATTATTGAATGTTTACGAAATTTATCATTATGCAACACGTGAAAAAATATTTGATACTTACGTAGACACATTTATGAAATTAAAGCAAGAGAGTAGTGAAGTGCCAAAAAAATGTTTGGACGCTTCTGGGAATGTTGACCCTGTATTACTTAACCGTTATATACCTTAACGAAATTGTCGTGTGAATAGTCAATATCATACGATGTTTAAAAGTTTGACAGACTCTAGAGATATGGAAACGATTGCTAGTAATAAAAAAAATACTGTTGGCACGTATGCGTAAAATCTTATCCGATGTCGGTAAAACACAGTATGGTTATGTGTTATTTGATGGTTCTCCGCGAAGTTATGCAAATTCACGTATTCGTACGGGGATATTTCCACAAGACCAAACTGTGGTTTACGATGTCGGCGAGGAAGTTAATTTAAAAAAAAAAACACTGTGTAAAGTAATAAAATTTTATTTACCCAAATATGTTTCCATGTATGTTTTACATATTTGCCCTTTTGCTTTTTTACATTTTTCATTATATATATGCCCCATAGTGGGAAATGCTCTAAATGCTAATTGTTGAAGTCTCTGTTCGTTCTGAATTAACTTTATCTGTTTTACATTAAATGTCTCAAGTACACACGTCCACCCTTGAAAATAACACCGTAAATAATATAAACACCATACACCACGGGTACGCGTGACATGGGATTGTTGTTGTACAGTGTTTGCCATAGTTATCATCCAATTGTTCCTTTCAAAAAAATCTAACCAGTATTGACGTTTAAAGAAACTTGGTGTTTTTCCATAACTGTCGAAAAATAAAATATTTTGATGATCCTTGATGACTGCAACCCAATGACTACCACCCCGATCACTTTCCACATTCCAAACCCAACAACATTGTTCCTTTATTTTTGGCGTTACATCTACGGCATGACACCCCACATAGTAATGACGTAAAATTAAATCGGTTTTAGCCAATGCATCGATGTCGTCCGTACCCAAAAATTTGCTAATAAAACATGTCAACGTAGTCATCCCATATACCAACGGGGTGTGCCCAATACCCGCTGTTTTTTTACAGGTTTATACAACCGGGGGGTGACTGTTGGTGACTGTTGTGGTGCGTGTTGTGTCGGTAGTTGTCGTGGCGGGGTCTGTAATAAATTTCTGTATTTGTCATGCAGCACGTCATTACGAATATAACTAGCAGGCATTCCTGAATGTCGTAGCGCCAACAAGGCTTTACGCTGCTCTGCATCATTCAGATTCAGTTTTTTCTTTTTATAATTATGTGTGAGATCTTTCATAAGATCGTCAAAAGATATGTTTGTAACCGTTTCCCCAAGTTGCAGTTTACCCCCCGCTGATTGTTTTATTTGCCGATTTTTAAAATGTTTAACAATTTGGGCCCGATGATATGCAACCGTCCCTACGGCAACAGCAGCAGCAGCATCATTGCCATCGGCATCGGGCACTGGTGGAGGTTGCGTAGCCTGTTTTTCTTCTAAATATTTACGGGTTTTTTTCACATAATTAACAATGTCTGCAGGAGCACGGACAGATTTATCTTTCACAGACTTTACCATATCCCCGTGACTTTCCAACAACTCGGCTTCTGCCGGGGTACGGTTGGTATCGGCCAGAATGTTTTGTTGTTGGGTAACTTGTTGTAACATTGTCACCAGTTTGTTGTATTTCTCGCTGTCTAACATCATTAGTTTTTTCACATTGTCGCCCATTTTTTTTACTTTCTTCCACGACCTTTAACGCACGACGAAGATAGATGTGTAATCTACGATCCTCTATGAGGTGTAAACGAATTTCGTCTTTCGTCGTGTTTTTGTTGAGAAGTTCACGCATCAATTCTTTGTCGATGTCTGCAACATTTACACTGATGTGACCCGATATAATATTCCTAATCAGGTACAACAAATTCTTGATGATCGTACCGTTGATCGATTTTTCGCGCACCGTAAACAACGCATTAAGATAACGTCGTGTTGAGGGAATAAATCGTGATTCACGCTCTTTTTTGGCGCTTTTTTCTCGTGCCTCGATTAGTTGTTCAAAAAATATATGATATATCGCATCATCTGGGGATGCGTGTACATCATCATCTGCATCAGAATAATCATTGTAATCATTGTCAAAATCATTATTTTCGCCGTAGCCATATGTTTCGTGGTCAATGTTGTCCACAAAATCCTCATCAGTACAGTACATCGTCAGTAGGATTACAAGTAGCGTAGTCATAATCGTCCGCGTCAAATTCTTCGGGTTCTTTCTCCGAACCATGTTCACTTGACCCGTCCTGTTCTTCGGGCTATCGCCGGGTTAATTTCCTCGACATCATCGTTTTTTTGTTGGACCTCTTTTGTCTCAGGCATATTTCGATATGACCGGTTTGATGTGCACGGTTTGTATGGCAACACCTGCGTGTGGTACTATTATACCCTTGAAATGTCGGGGTAATTTAAGTGCGTTACGACATGTTTTTTTTATACTACAGGACTTGCTCCTTGTGCAAGGCATGTTTTTACAAAAATGAAACAGTTTAATCTCTAGCACGTCTTAAAAAATGTCTTAATGAGTGTATTTAAAACGTGCGCTACTTTGATAACCCGCCGCCAATTGGTTACGAAATTCACCGATGCATATCAATTGCATGGGGTGTACCGTATCTGCAGTTAACCGCATTTCTAACCCAACATTACCGCTGGTTGTGTTGGGTAAAACGCAGTTATAGCTATCTTTGTTTTCTGTAAGATCTGTCACAATCATTCCGTAGTCGGTTAGATAATTTTCATACGAAAAAGGCATTTCATCATTACGACGATTTAAAATACGTCGCAATTGGATGTATGCTTCACGTGAACCTTTTAGTTCTGGCGATAACCACGCATCGTTGATTTTTACACCAAAATGATCAAAGTTGGGGAGAATCATACGGTTTGGATTTGCCGTATACGCCCCATTGTAACGCGTCTGCCTGCGCACATAAACAATCAGACACGTAGGTCGTGCACCGCTGAAAATATCATTCAAAATAATTTTATTAACACCTGCGGCAATGGGGGTGGGTACATAGCGATGTTGACGTACATAATATTTGCATTCTGCACCCTGCTGAATCATCAATTGATTGATTGCATCGGTTAATTGTTGGCGGGGTTTCATAGCGGGAACGGTAATTTTAAGCTCGTCTATATGCAAATATGCAAGTGCGCAATGAGCTGCGTTGCCAAATAAACATTTGTTTTTTTCTAACCGATCTAACTTAACCCTAATATCAAAATGATGATACAACGAAACGCTTGTGGTCACCCGTTAAATTGATATTATCATAGCACCACAACGGTGTTGTTTCGCCTTGATTACATTGCTGATAGCGTCAATTGGCACCCAAATTAACTAAACCCCCACCGTCGGCGTCGTTAATCTCGGTAATATCATCAAATTGACCGGGTGTATCATGTATCGCCAAATTAATTACGTCAGAGGGTTTGTATTGCGAGGGTACTCGATCCATTAAATGACATACATAAGACAATTCATTTTCTTGTGTGGTTACTGTGTTGACTTGTTCATTGTTAAGCAAAACAGATTTACTCTTCCAAAACTGCGTTAATGGACCCATATTTAACGCGACAACTTGATCCGCCCCGAGATTACCGGCTGCAGCCGTTTTAAGCGTAAGTTTACCCGATATTGTGGCATCTTCCAAATTCAAAACCCCGTATTCTTGCTTGTGATGTAAAAATGTGTACGTTTCTGACACAGGGTTGTCCTCGGGTTTGGCACGTAATTCAATTGTGCGGTTATCAATGAACGTGTCATTATGGGGAAATGGTTTAAACATCCCCATCGGGATCATAAACCCACTATCATGTTCTTCTATGGCCTCGTCTGATTCCACACGTGCTCGCTTCATCATGCTAGTTGCAAAGTGTCGTAAAATACACACACACACATTATATAATAATAATTTTATTTATCTACTAGAGCATACATTTTGTAATGATATAAACGTCTCGTTCGTCGTTGTATTGTTTGTCGTCGCACCCGGGGTACAGAAGTCTGCGGTGCGTAACGAGGAGTTCGCGCATAATATTGTCTACGTGGTTGCGGTCGTAGTTGATATTGGGGTCGAGGTTGATATCGGGGTCGATATTGCGGTTGATATTGCGGTCGGGGTTGATATTGCGGTTGATATTGAGGTCGGGGTTGGGGTTGATATTGTGGTCTTGGAATGGGTCGCTGTCCATAATTATTTGTTACGGGTGCAGCCTTTGGTTTTCCAAATATAGCGGGTAATATTTTAGTAGCCGCCCCAAGTACTGCGGGTGCTAACATCCCCAATGCTAATGCGGGACCATAGGCCCCCCTTTCTGATGACGACGCCCCATTTTAACGTCTATAAATTTGTCTTAATACTTGTGGGTCAACAGCGGGTCGTTGTTGTCTTTGTGGTGGTCTTTGGCGTACTTTTCCTGGTCGTTGAAATTTGGGGTCGGGTAAATAATTCGGTTTCAAATGTGGCGGTGGGCACACTTTTTCTGTTGCACGCTCCTCGATTGTTTTACCGATATTGGGTAGTATCATAAGATTGGTGTCTTTATATCGAGTACCCTCTCCCTTTAAAAGTTTTATATACTGTGCTGCCGTATTCATCGTGTCTCGTAAGAAATGAATATTACGAGGGTTTATCATAAATATTTAAACTTACAATAAGCATTTTTCCATTATAATTTTCCGTCACCCCACTGTATTTCAAAGTGAACTGTTTCTTTTAGTTGATCTAAATTTTTGACCAACATAAATCGTTCAAGTTTTCGACGAGTTATATAAGTGCTGTTCTCGATCGTCGTATTGCCAGAAAAATCGAACAGTTTATATCAGGGCCAACAAGCAGCTTGTAATGCATTATTACCCATGGGGACATTCGCCATTCCACCTACAGCTGTTAGAGTGTTTTCGCCATAAACAGTTGCGATTTTTTTTGTTTGCCCATCTGTCATACCGCTGAAATTTGCTTTACGTGAATACCACATCGATGCGGGAAAATTATAGACAATGTCTGTTTGATTTGTAGCCTTACTGCAGTATTTTCCATTCGTCGTCAAATGTGCAAATGAATGGTCCACGTTGACCAGATTGTATGACACAGGTACCACTTCATTGTTTGTTATACCCCAACGTATTTGTAACATTTTTTTCAAATTATTCTACGATGCACTCTAAACTCAACGTGCCCGCGCTAAACTGTATTAGGTTGTAGTTGGTGTCACAGACTTTTATATGCAATTTGTCGATTTGAGAACGAGTTAATTTCACCGTTGTTTCGGGACATGTGTACGTGTGTAAATTAGCGCTACCCATATCGTTTGTTTCGATTTTAAGTACGGCTAACAACTTTCCATACACATTCCCCACCATAGACGCAACAACTTCATCACAATAAATAAACATGCGTGTTAACCCGTTTGTCATGTCGGGTAAATAACCCCCATAAAATGTCCCAAAAGCGGGGTTATAGGGTTCATCGTACGCATTCATATGCTGATATTGGGTTTTTATTATCTGGAACGTTGGAGAGTCCACTGGGGTGAAGAATCCACTCGTCAAGACCCAACATATATTTTAGATTTTTAGTGAATTCTAATTGGATTGCATTAGCCCTGCTGATAAACTCGAACCCCTTTCGAACAACCGGGTCGGTGTTGTTATATCGATAAACAAAATCTATCCCCGCCACGTTCATTGTAACACCCACTCTTTTTGAGGGTAATTCTAGAAAATAGACGCCGTATTCATTTACATACGCATTCAGAACTTCCAACATTTTATCAAGCGTGTAATATCCGGGGGGTAAATATAACCATTGGGTATCAAACGTCACTTCTTCTTCAGGCGAAGCTATACCCGCACCCGCACAATTTGATTTTGCTCGAAACTTATACCAGTTGTACTGTAACCGGATACCACAGGATTCTTTCGAAACGTTCTCGATAGTTAAGGGATACGTAACATTAAGCACACGCAATGTTTTTTGCTGATTTTCAGCGTCTATTTTGTCGGGCAATTTCATTACAAACTGATTATTATAGTTGGTACCACCAACAGCGTTGGGTGCATTACTAAAGATTTTCAAATTCATTTTAATGTCTGTAATTATTCACGATAAAATATACCTCTGATATCTTCGCCCTTGCTATCTCGTAGTTTATACGTTACAGGATCGGTAATGTACACTTTGTGAATAACAAACACTTCTTTTACCCAACGTCGTAGACTAGACTTTTCAAACGTGATATTCTTGATACGCGCTATGCGTACACGTGTCCCCTTGCGTAATAAATCGGTTGTGGGCTGTGCGTGTGTATTTAAATCTCTTTTTACAAGCTGAAATTGAAAATTCTTTGGGATTTTCTGATGTACATACAGATCTACAGGGGTGGCACCAAAAATACCCTGATGCGGTGCCTCGTTATATCGTTCTACAATTGTGGGCAAATATTTTATATAACGGTAGCCCATGTTCAAAGTGGTTAACGAACGCGTAATCATTTGTTTAAATGTTCGGATAAAACGTTCGGCGTGCACGGCCTTTGTCTCGCGGTTTTGTGTGTGAAACAGAGTGAAACCATATTTTTTAGAAAGATCTTTTTTATTTGGTTAAACTCTGTACCCTCGTCAGCTTGAATTTTTTTTCGGGATACCACCCGCCTCGCTTAAAATTTCTTCGAATTTTTTGCGCACATTATTAGCAGTTTTATTTTTTAGGGGTTTTACGACCGCATAGCACGTAGCAATATCAATACACACAAGAAGATAACGATATTGATCATTATACCCTAATAATTGTTTTAAATCTGCCAGATCTATACTCCATTGTTCATTACGCCTATCTATATGTATTTTTAAACGTTTAAAATGTATACGTCTTTGAGCATGTAATTTATAAGCGATGTGTTGTTCAGCAGTCAATTGTTCATTTTTTAATAATCTTGCGGCCTTTTTGATTAAAGCAGCATCAATGTTCTGGGTCTTCTTTCTCTTTACCATCACTGTAAATCAAACCAAACCAGATTTTAACTGTTTGTATACGGTATTTATATCGTCCACACGCTGTTTGACAAATTTTACAAAATCAACGTCGGGTAGAATCTTATGTAGATCGTTGATATACATTTTCACCACCTCCCCCACCGTTGCACTATATTCTATCATACACGTAACCACTGCGGCAATTATTTCTTTATCTTCACGCTAAGAAAATAATTATTTAAATTTTTTCGGGTGAGTTATTTTAAGTTCTCTAATTAGGGTTTCCTTTGCGCTTTTATAATCAGGTGTTTGTAAGATTGTTCTAAAATGCGCACGCTGTTTGTCAGGGTTTACGTAATTATCCGTAGTATCAAAGTACATTTGATTATCGAATGATGATGAACTCACCTCGCTGTCTGACTCAACAATTGCGACTTTTTTCTTCTTATTAGAAGTCTTTTTCTCACCAGATTGTTTTCTTTTCACAGGCGAGCTGGTCTGCTTTCTCGTCGATTTTGCTGGCGACATGGACGTTGACAGTTGTTGACGGCTAAGTAACGGGCTAGTTGACGGTTGGTTTTTTCTTGGTGTCGGGTGCTCGGCTGTTGAGGGTTCTGTACCATCATCATTCCAAATTGAATTTATATCATGCCAAAAATCACGAAGTTTCTTGCCAAATTCAGACCAATCTTCGTTTTTACTGATATAAAATTTCTCAAAACATTCACTCCATTCCACTTTCAATTCGTCGGTGGGAGTTTCTGAAAATGGGGAGGGATCTGGGTTGTCGTCGTCGACGGGGAAACAATCTGGAACGCTGGCTTTTTTTAATTTACATAGACATAACCACCCGTACTCGCTACCCTTAAGCACAAGCTTAAGGATATCACCACTATACGCTGTGGATTCACCCAATTCAAAATAATTCACACTGCCCGGCTGCTTTGAACATTTGTTTAAAGCTTCAAGCATTTCTTCCAACTCTGGCAAGTTGATCTCCACGACTGTCTTGCAACAAAATTTGGGCACGGAACCCGCAGACATTTTGCCGGATGCTAGACCAATTTTTTTAAAACGGTTGACAAATATCATTTTGGTAGTGGCGTTTGCAGCTTGCCCATACTGCCCCAACACCTTAGACAAATCGGTATTGTATTTTTTATAAATCTCAACCATTTTTTCTTACATGCCTTGCCTACGAGAGATGATACAAGACTGCGCAAAAATAATGTGCACCACTTATAACTATAGTTATATTTATACAAAAAAACTAACGTTATTATCGTACCCGAAACAATTGTTAAAAGTGTTGTTTTAGCTACGCGGTCTTTAATTTCCGCATCACATTAAGTGTCATTTTTGTAATTTTGTCCATATATAGATATTTACACTCCTCTGATGAAAATAACAAGGAATTTTTATTATACAAAGTACACGCGAGTGCTAAAATAAATATTTTATGCGACATATCTCGATATGTCGCATAAAATCACCCCTGATGAAGACACTAGACTGGAGTGTCGAAACGTTGGGTCTTGATTACAATTCGACTGGGCTTTGTAATCATTTATTTAAACCAGAGTAGCGAGCGAAACATGATTGATATACCTGGTTGCAGTGAACGAACAAACTTAATATTCTTCATTTTCCAACATTACTAACATATCACACAGCTGCGCGGAATGTACATTTTCTATTACGCGCGCCAAACGAGCCATTTTGGTTTATCATTCATACAATACTGAATGCGCGTAAAAAACTCATCGGTTACGAAACTATCTTCAGCCAACGAACAATGCCTGTACCAGTGTTTTGTTGTCCATAAATTAAAATTTTGGCGTAGGGTATACAAGTCAAACGGTACATCATCTTCGTCGTGCTCGTCCACACGCTCACAAAACATCAAAAAAACGTCCCACGACTGTTCTCTTAATACGCGCAAACAATATAAGACGAAATACAGAATGATGTAAATAGTAACCGTGTTCTAACCACCACGCAAATATTCGTTTCTTATGTTCCACAAAACTACTATTGCGATCTTGTATTGCTTGCTTATAAAGTCTAGCTATTAGATCGCGTACACCAATCCAATCGCTGGGCGTATGCGTTACATAACCCTCTGCAAACCCCGCCGGTACCAAATAATAAACGTGCTGTTGTTCACCATTCCAATCCGCATAACATATCTCACTCCAACGCAAAGGTAAATATTTTATGTGCGAGCGTTGGTAAGAACGTATAGCAATACACCAATAGCCCGAATGTTTTACCATTTTCACAAAACAATCACATTTATATACACGACCGTCATTTATAATATTTAAAACTTTTGTCTCTAATATACAGCATTTTAACTCAACATCCCACCTGTCCATGATAACATGTCTTACGTGTATCTACTAAGAACTGTAACGCGCTTCCGTCTAACATTACACCGTAAAACCCACAAAATATGTTAAAATTTGCACATAGAGTGCGCGCCGATTGTTGTTCAGAAATTAACGTTTGTAATAAGCGATTATTAAATAAAGCACACATATTATTTTCGTATTGTACACGTAATATTTTTGAACATTCTGGAGAAAAATTGTCACGGTTACCAAGCGCCATCACAATTTGACCATAGAACTCCCTATGATTGCGGCCATTTAGATGAAAAGTATACCGATATTCTGTATATTCATTGTACACCCACGTTTCAGCATTGGTAGCCGTCAATTTTAGAAACACTCTTTGCGCACGTCTATGATATTGATAAATAGTCGTATGTTCTCCGATATGTCTGATCATTACATTGCTACGTATGTTGCTAACCATCTTTGCATAGAATTTATTAAAGAGCTTGCGATATATACTTTTGTACCCTTAAGCAATAACCGTGCAAATTGTTGCTCGTTACAATGTGCCAAATACGTACGCCATTCCCTTATCCGTGTTGTCATATAGAATGCACAACGACGCATATGTTTCAACGGTTCATGACGAAGATTTAGTAGCTCGCGAAAGCGTGCGTAGGTTACACGTGGTGTAAGAATTTGGTTAGGTCTGTAAACAAATTCTATAATAAAATACAAACCCGCATATTGTGCGTGTAAAATCATATCATTGTTTCGAAATGTGACATCTATTATTATATAACGTACGCGTATACATTCTCCATTACATATAGCGACAGATCGTGTCTTGAACATATCCATGATGCAATACGGTGGTAATTTTAAGGGTCGTAAACACCAACGAAGTAAATCCAAAAAACAAGAGGGTGGTATTTTACCGTGGTTAATTTATGCCGGTATAAAAAAAAGGAAAGCGGCTCAACGCAGACGACGTCAAAGAACACAAGCTATGTGGCGTCGAAGAAGAGAAGCTATGTGGCGCCGGGCAAACACTGGAGAACACAGACGACCGGGGGGTACAGGTCAGCAGGGCCCCCCCCGCAACGACGCACGCGCAATTTTTATATCTAATAATAGCAATAGAAGTTTACAATCATTTCAAAATGTACGACCACAAACTCAAAAACCGCGACCACAAATTCAAAAACCCCGCTATCACCCACAACCCCGACAAACTGGTGGTATTGTAGCCGGTGAACATGAATTGGCACAAAAGGCTTTGCGTGACGCGTTTATCAATTATCCTCGACGAAGAAAAAACAAATAAAAGTAATTTTTTTATTTATAAAAGTGCAATATATCAGTAATAAACACATCACAATCTTGATCCCCACATACATACCCCAAATGCCCATTTGTATAATTAGCATTGTATTTAAATTTTAAGCGTCCAGGTTTATCACAAACCCTTTGCGCAATATAAGGAAACGCTAAGTATGCATGCTCCAACATTTGTTCGCATGTAAGTTCAACATGCATATGTGTAATCGAATCTTGTTGTGCAATCCAAAAACCACAGTATGTATCGTCTGCATTGGGGCAGATGTAAAAACCGTCCCTCAAAACACACGGTTTGTGACAAAGGCAGCGAACCCCGCGTAGACTTAACGCATCCACCTCCAATGTACTCTGATGCATTTGACACCGACCCAATCGACAAACAAAAAACAATTGTAACCCGAGCAAGGGTACATCTTCTATAGAATAACCCGCAATTTTATTACAATCACAACGAACATGTTGATCAAGTAGATAATCTTCGCAATGTCTTAAAATAGTCTTTTGTTGTTTCAAATTTACTGCCAAGGCATTTAAATTGTACCCGCACCCCCGTCTTGCACAACGATAATACACACGCCATTCTCCTCCGACCTGTTCACCCTCCAAATTAACTTCCTTTTCACACAAACAACGATTCTCTGCACACGTGATTACAACCCGCCCCGTACCAGGGTCGGGTGCCAACCATTTCGTACACAATGTGCATGTACAAGATACAGATGTCGTTGTAGCCATAAACAAAGATTTATTTGCACCACGTTTGTTAAAGATGTGTGCTTGTCAACGACCAAATCACAATATGCTGTTCTCAAAATAGCGCCCTCTAGTTTTAAACACCCCAAACAACAATCATCGTCGCCAGATATCATGCGTTGCAGTTTAGTACAAAAACATGTTACAAACGGAGATTGCGGTATATTAAATTTACGTGCTAACTGTTCCATGACAATTGTAAACCTTACAAAGGTGCACCCTCTAACCCCAAGCTGGATTTTTCTCTTTTGAGTCATTTTTGCCCACATCACAACAAACATATTTGACCATAGTTAATAGAGGACAGGGTTTGGAAGGCCAGCAAACTTCAAAGGCTTTCGAGCTAATTAATTTCAGATGTTGGAAAGGTACGTCACGTGACATTTCGGGTGCATCAAATTCAGAAATTACTATAGCGTAGTATTACAGAAATATGATATTGTGCTTATAAATTTTAAAATGAGGCATTGTTGTTCTTCTTATGGCTTCGACAAGTTCGGCATACGATTCAGAAAGCAAAATTCACCCAATTCTGGGTGCTGGAGACGCAGATACAACGGCGGAGGCGATTTTCATCAAACTATTTAGCTGCTGCAAATCAACGCGGATGAATTAACTGAAGAAATATCGCGTTCAGTTGAAGAAGTAAGTCCTTTATACAGTGTCCAATTAAACAATATGTAGTGAGATGCCTTAGACTTAATATTTGACTTATATTTGTCATTTAGATTGAAGGATTAAAGCAATTCCCGTGCGAATATCGACGCAATATTAAGCACTCGACAAATTCTACAGCTAGTACTGCCAAAGGGAAAATCCAAACCCATGTTATATATGACTTATCACGCATATGAGAAGGCATTGTCGATCATTCGAGAGGTAGGGAAAAGGAAAGAATATTTTCATCCATGCAGAGAAGATAAAGTCGTGCTTTTGATGCTGGTGAATATGCCCGAACGGTTGACTTTACTATTACCAGCAGATATTCTTATTATAAACACTGAAGAAACTGCATGCTTTAATACCAGTAAATATCTTAATACTGTATATATATAGACAATATACTGTAACCTAGATATGAATGTCTTAAAATAGTAGGCCCTAAGGCTTGTCAATTGTCAATTACAAGTCCAGCCATTGACCAATATACAGTGATTCAATGTCTACTAACATGTGATTTGTTACTTTTGATCATTCTGTCACATCAAAATAGAATGTTATTCCAAGATATTTCATGCCCATCCCACAGTTTCCAAGACCAAGTCTTATAATATATTAGACAAAGGAGATATCAAAGGAAATATCATACAGAGGAAATATCAAATTTTGATATTTCCTCTGTATAGTACAATATTGACCTAACGGTATTAAACGTTCTTATTCCTCTCCAGTGCCAGAAGATTTTACCTATGGCTATGTGCAAAGGATTATATACCCAGAAATATTTTTTAATGTTTGTATTCTGCTAGTAATTATCAGTGAAATCAGAAGAGTTTGGACCACCCAGCTTATGTTGCTGGGGAGGGGCCGTCAGCCCTGTGGGTACCAAATTCATGACTTAATGATATTGCTAGAATTGCTGAATTGTGCTTTAGAAAGCACACAAGAATTAAGGCAAACCTACTTCTTTACACGTTGATAGTTATTAAGAATGTCCAAGCTCCTCCATTAGCAAAAAGTTTGTGGAATGACATTATTGAGCAATCTAATAGCATTGCAGTATCAAAAGAATGCCAGTCCTTATGTTTTGAGAACATTGTTAAACTGTATGGCTGTTCAAAGTTTCAAATTTTGCCATTTGTCGTGTTCCAGCCCGATTTCTGGTTCTGAAAGGCCCGATTCTCAGCCAAAGAGTGCACGCCAAGCAGGCTGGTCATTTCATTGTTTAACTGCCCCACACTCAAATAACAACAAAGACTCACAGATATTGCTTTGCAACATCTGTAAGTCACAAATTATGCAATCTGAACAACATTTTTCACAAAGGCAAACGCACTTTGCCACCGGAAAAAGGGCACTTTTTGCATCTTCTGAAAACTTGGGGGGCATTGGCCCCCCAGTTTCTATGCCCCTGGTTGACAGCCAATTTAAGATGTGAATAGTGTACTTATTCACTGCGTCAGTGTGCTCTGATTCTAGCCGTTGTTGTCTCTCAAACCACGATAACTCAAAGTTGAGCCTGCCAATGTCCTGTATATTTGAGGTGAAACATTTTGAGGGGAAAAATTTTGTGTAATAGTGATTTACTGTATATATTAGTATAAACTTTCACAAATTATTCAACTAAGGTAATATATTGTTCTAGTCTTATTGTTCACCTATTCATTTATAATCTGTTTTAATAATTTATTTTATAACATATGTACAAATTATTGCATATTACTCTTTTGAAGCAGTGCTGTCATTAAGTTTACAAGTAGGTGGCCGAAAAATGATTGAACATTGAAGGCACAAGACTCCTAGAGGGGTCTGGGTGCATGCCCCCAACCCAAAATCTAAACAATCGGAAATGCCATTCCCTGCATTTTGGAAGGTATTTTACAGAGTTCTTAAGATTACAAAACATCCTATCAAAGCCTGACCTGTTTGAAATCATTTAATCTTTTGTTTTAATTTTGATGTTCTGACTAGAGGAAGTAAAAGGTTTGTTTATTGCTTCACAGTTTTGTTTATATGAACTTTGTTCAGACAAAAGTAGGCAAGCTACAGGCCCTTAATGACAGCTCTGTGTACAAAAACCTCACAAAAGTTCTCACTAGATTACTTCTTCTGTTTTATGTTACACGGCAAGGCCCTTTCTAATCCACCATACCATTTACTCCTCTGACCAGTGTGATGACCAGCAACGTTACCTGGCTCCAATTGTCGATATAGAGAGGTATGC